TGCATGTAGTTTACACTGAATTCCATTTAACTAATACAAAGTGTTAACGCAGAATCATTAGAATAAACAGGAAATTCGCTATTGAAGTAAATGACTAAGATCATATTGGCTTTAGTGCGTTTGGATACTACACCACTGATTTCATGATTTTGAATAGCACAATCACAAGACAGCAACAAAATCTGGTATATTTCCCTTGCTTTCTGTGACTGGTCTGTTAGCCAGTAACCTTTTAGACATGTTTTAAAAAGTGTAATCTTTTTGTCATCTGCACATGCTGTTCTTTAGTTATATACTTGCAATATTGGGCAGTTGTTTTGGGAGCCATTTTCTCTGCTTGCATGTATGGGAAATTCATGTATGAAAACGGCTTATTTTTTCATTGGGGTTAGGATAGGAAAACAATAGTTTCGGATGTGATTTGATTTATAGCATAATCCTTTGTATGTTTAGTGAGGCTTTCTCCCATGTAAGTGTGCATAGGATTGCAGCGCTAGTTACTACTTTTCTGTTTCTCTTTTAATTATGAATCGCTGTATCATTGATGTTGGAGCAGGATTTCTCTGTGGTGATTGCAGTGCATATTTCAGGAAGAAAAGCCCTGTGAACTTAAAATTCACAGTATCATTGTATTAATTTTCATTTGTACAATGTGTCCATTTGAAATAACTTTTTGGTCTTGGTGATCTGTGCAATTCTTTTGTTTCAAGGAGGATTGCGCTTTTGTCTTAATGATTACGTAGCGATCTAGTAATGCCAAGCATGGGTGCTATTTTAAGTTGTTTATCATCTAATTACATATTAAAAGCACAAATTGTGTATGATGCTAGGGGGCACACTGTGGTAAGATGCAAAGAATCACATTAGACAGTTGTGTTGGTTTCATTATGGCCTAGGACATAGCATCATGAAGAGTCCAGTAATGCCTACTGTTTATTTCACTAGATTTCTGATCAAAGCCTTGTCTTAGAGAATAATATTTCCATTGTAAGATATATTGCATGAAACCCCTGAAGATAAAAGGAAATACTTTTTAAATCAGGTATAAAATTGACCTATCATAGCCAGATAAATAATAAAAAGTATGAATTTTTGAGGCATTTGATTGTGGATACAGATACATAACTTCGTAAGGATAAAAATTTAAAAGGTGAGCAAGAAGGGAATTAATTGTATTTGCAACAATGTATTACTGGCAAATTATCAACATATCTAATTGATATTATTGCTGCAAGTAAACTTTCAAATATAGGTATTTTTTAAAACTAGCAGTTATTACATAGTATTCAAAATGTGTTCTAAAAGTACTAATCCAGTAAGCCACCGCTGTAATGTTGTCTGGTGTGAGGCTATTAAGCTTCAGTTCCCAATTACGTAGAACAGGGATGGGGAACCTGTGGCCCTACAAATATTGTTAAACTCCAATTCCCACCAGTCTCAGTTATAGTGCAGAAACACATGGAAAGCCACTCGCTCCCCTTTTCTGATAACAGAACAAACTGTAAAAAAAATAACTGCTCCAACTTCCAACTGTATCTTCCTTTAACATGATATAACTGTTTCCCAAGAACAGTCATATGGGCAAGTTCTTAATCAGTAATAATCAATAGCTTAGGTGAAGCACTGAATTGGGAGAATTAATATTTTTATTTTTATTTTTAAATTAAGCCAAGGCACACCTACAGAATAACTAGTGGTATTTTACAAATATAACGTTGTGTACTACTATTATAAATGCTGAAGTTTTAAAATTCTCTCCTACCTCCACAGGTGATCAAACTGAAAATAGAAAAAACCACATACCCATGATGTTAATGATACATGGGAGATGATGTTATCCTTGCGAAGTTGAGCGTTTTAAAAAGAAAAGGCAGGAAGGTTTGAACACAATTAATACAAGTAGTGTTAATTGGATTTTAAACTATCTGGCCTTGCTGTAGGGTTAGGGTAGTATCTCCCCCAGGAACAAGGTAGTAACATTTTTAGCAGGTGTGTGCATGTATAAAATGGTGGTGAAAATCAATAAGGAAATACAAGTATTGTCAGGTATTTTTTATGGATTTTCATGGAAGAGCTCATGTCCTGCCTGCTTTTAGTAGTATTGAACAATGATGTTCTGTAAGGAACATGGCTGGACTTCATTACTGCTAAGTATGTATATTTTATAATGGCCCTGTTATTATTATAAAGGGTACATTGCTCTGTGGTCCAGGTTGCTGACACTGGGTGTCATCTAATGCCAACTTATGCACTGGAAATCTGCTTGTGCAATAGGACCAGACCCTCCAAGTGTCCCTATTTTCCAGTAACGTTCCTGATTTATAGACGCTACCCCAGTTTCTGATCGGATCCCGGAATGTCCCACTTTTCCTTAGGATGTCCCCATTTTCATTGGAGAAATGTTGGAGGGTTTGGAGATATGCAACCCCTAAGCCATCTGAAGGCAATCCTGTGTAGGGAAGTTTTTTTTTAAAAAAATTAATAAATGTTTTATTATGTTTTTTATATTTGTGGGGAGCTGCCCAGAGTGGCTGGGGCAACCCAGTAAGATGTGTGGGGTATAAATAATAAAATTATCACTATGGAATGGGACGTCACTATTTTCATTGGATAAATGTTGGAGGGTATGCAGGACCCTCTAGAGCAGATTTTGGAGGTGAGAAGGGGCTGCAAATGAGAGGGGAGAAAGGAGAAATCATGTTGTATGAGCAGATGTCCCCTCACCTTACACTGGATCTCACCCATTGCCATGTAGTTATTTGTTTTTCTCATATTGTTGGACTGAACCAAATGCATTCCTTGGCTCATTTCAGACATCTCACCAAACCGTAGTAAAGAATTCACAAACTGTTTTGGTTTTTCCACCTTCCTCCAGAGACTACTGTATGAAGGGACAGTGCAGTTCAGAGAGGCTAGAGGAAGAAATCAGAAAAGAACCCCTCAACCATAATTTGCACAATTGTGTTAAAGCGCAAACATTGGTTTGAGTTTTAAACTATTGCTAACACAAGGGCTTGTTTGACATAATGTCTGAATGGAGCCATTGACTTTGATTGTTGAATAAAAGAATAGATGTGGAAGGAAAGTGCTGCAAATTAGGCAAGAGAAGTTAACTCAGGTTAAACATTTCATCTTTCTTTGGCTTTCATCTCCTCCTTTTCCCTGAACATTTGCACCTGGTGAAAATTATAGTGCAAGAGGATCTGAACCAGGAACATTGGCCTTCAGAATATACAGAATACCTTTCTTCTGCACAAAAACTCATTATGAAATTCCAGTCTTTGAAAAGTAAAAGTGGACATCAATTATTTTGGCAAGTTGTAAAAGTCTTGAGGCAAAAGCAGCTGAAAGCAAGAAGTCCAAGAGTTATTAAGCCAGGAACAGGAAATATACTAACCAATTGACAAACAGGGCCTATAACTTTTATATTTCAAGTACTGTACTCTTCTCACATTGCAAGTATTTATATCAAACGTCTCTAGCCAAATCCTAGGCCGGAAGGTACCGTTGACGCACCTCTCTCAAATTGGAAAGAGACAGGATAAAAATAAACGAACATAAGTGAAATAAATTATTTAACTGTGTGCAGGATCACATCCTTATGGTATTGGTGCTTAAAGGAGGTTATGAGTGTCACAAGTTTTGTGTCTGAGGCGTCAATTCTGTTTCTTAAAAATATTCCAACTGCCTTTCCTCCCCAAATCTCTGGTTTTGTAGCTGGAGGCCCTGATGCTCTCTGTGTTGCTGTCACTGTATATGCTGTGAAGGCAGTAAAAATGAGCACTAATCAATCTTTCAGAGCCAAGCAATGAGCATTAGGAGGCCACTATCCTGTGACTAAACACACCCCTTTTATGGAGTGTTGGTGCTAATAAAGGACAGCTTATTACTGAGGCAGAGACCAAAGCTTGGGTGAGGTCAACCATGACTGGCAGTCATCAGTCATTCTTAATGATACTTTTTCCCGTGCTTTCTAAGGGATTCTGAGCAGAGTGCAAATCATTTGGGGTCATCCATAGTTCATGTACCCACAGATGGTAAAGGTTTTGAAAGTCTTTGGTTTAAACTTGTACTTAAAAAGTGGGGGGAATCGTTTTTTTTCAAGTAGACAAACAAACAAACAAACAAACAAACACAAAAAGCCCAATAGATTCCCCCCCCCCATGTTGTGTTTTCTTTCACTGTTAAAAGATGTTTTACACACTGGAGTGCTTGTGCATTATAAAGAACTACATAAATTTATTTTTTATGACGTCTGTCTTCTTTAATTATTACCTTTGATGTCTATTGGTGACTAAAGAGAGCTTAACAGGATTTCTCTCCCTTCTTAAATTTCGCAAAGTGAAACCCAGCCAGTCCCTGACAGATGTCTGTTCCTCACCTTCAGGATTATTTTATAAATCCCTTTCTGATGAGCGGAAGTGTCAAATCAAGGACAGGTCATAAAGTAAAAGTATAAACCTTTTAAAGAGAGACTCAAGTAATATATAAACATTCTGCACTCACTCTGAATTTTTTATGGTTTGGAAAATATATTTTGGTAAGAAGGTAGAAAAGTTTCAACCATTAGCTTGTGTGCATTTTTAGAAAAGCATCATTTTGTTTTGTTCCTCGTACTCCTTCCTAATTTGATTTCAAGCATTCAAAGATAATAACTGTGCTTCAGATAAAACACGTCACTAGGACTTTTGGTTTTTTATGCACCTTTAAAAATACGACAATTGTACTGCGTTTCTATTTTTGTGTTTATTTAATTAATTTACATCTAATCACCCATTGTAGTATATCTTGGTTTGAAGGCTGTGAAGGTAGTGTGAATTTAGACAACCGCTGTCTCCCCCCTTTCCCCTTTTTATTAAAGTAAGCTTACTTTTTCTGAGATTTTAACTTCTGATACAAGTGTTAGTTTATTTTTACTTCTTAAAGCTGAGGTAAGCTGAAATCAACACCTTCTGGTTTCTTCTGTCAGTTCTGTATCACCACATATGGGGAAAACATGGTGTGTTGTGCATAAAATACAAAAGTTGTACTGATTTTTGTCTCAGACACACTCTTAAAGCTTTGACTTGCAACATTCAGTGTTTCATGGATGATGGAGGTTTAGACAACTTCTTTTCAGTGTTTAGTGTTGTAAAATAAGCTGTCTATTGCACAAGCGTATGAATTTGTAAACCACTTTGTGAGTGAAATGTGCTCTGAAAGGTGGGTAGAAATGCATTAAATAAATAAAAGTACAGCACCTGGCATGTTGGTAATGATACATACAGCTTATTATGAATAAACAAAAATTGTTTGATAAAACATAATAAAAAAGTAAGATTTCTGTTTGAGCTCAGACACTTTAAAATGCACAAGTGGAAATATTTTCCTTTTATATTCTGTGTGCAGTGGTTCCTTCTTGGTATATAATCCCATTCATTTTTAAACCCATAAAATAAAAACCTTTTTTTATTTTGTCCCATAGTTGCCCAGCGAGTGAGATGCTTTTGGTAATTCTACCAGTAAACGGATTTCTGGTGTTGGTTGGAAAATATGTGCAGCTTTCATAAACAATAGAAAATACAATCAAATAGTGCTGTACCTATGATAAGAAGTGGTCCTTGTTGAAGCTTTATTCAAGAAAGCACTTAAAGATGAGGGTGTTTATGTATTTAAATTTAAGAATATGCCTTAAGTGCTTTCCTGAATTTGGGCCAATGTGCCTGATGCTTCCTCCTGTTTGAGACCAGATGTCATAAGAAAGAAATCAGGCCTCATCATGGCCCTGATTCTTTTGCTTATTGCATACAGTCCTCACTTGTTAAGTGTTTCTGTCTTTACATATGCAGGTTAGTAGAACAGCTTACGTTAGGAATGATGGGCCAGAAAACAAAGCAAAATGCCCCTTTAATAAGAGCCTGGACATTTGCGTAGCACTTATTCTCTAGTAAATTAGTTTTGCTCAGGGTACTGCCTTCTGTTCCTATACCATAGTAGGGAGAGGTTGCAGTTGCCACGTCGTGTAATTCCACAACCCTTTAGTTGACACTTAGATATGAGCTTGCAGCTGCCTAGGTCGTAGGAGCCAACTCCTAGGGGCCACGGTCCCTTCAGCCCCCCCACCCAATAAAATATTTGAGGGGGCCGTGGCCTTCAACGTTGATGGGCACTGCCTTCAAATGGTGTGCATGTGCCGCGTCTTGTGATAGATTATACGGGGCGGACCTTGCCTGCCTCCCCTATTTTATTCAAGTTGGTGCCCTTGGCCTAGACACACACACACAAATTCTCTGGGATTGATGCACACAATAGAGGATTTTTTCATTTTGTTGAATCGTACTGGCACACTCAGTGCTAAGGTTTTGGAGTGGGAGTCTCTGATTCATGTAAAGAATCTGGGTATGTGCTTGAAACTTTTGGGTTTGGGTGAATGTGTGAACAACCTCAAATGATTCAAGGCCTAAGAGTGGTCCTATAAGGTTTGCAGAGTCCATGGTACATGAGGGCCCACAGGCCCACCCAAATATATATCTTAAAGATATAAAGTATTTAATATATATTTATCTTAATATGTCATATGCAACAGCTATACATCTTATATCCATATATATTATCTATATATCATATACAACAATTTTGCTGTTATATGTAGCCCTCTGTTAATTTTTTCTATGGCAAATAGTTCAGGTTTAATTAAAAATTTCTTCTCATAATAATGTTTCACCACTGATAAGAAGATACAGCGGTACTTCAGGTTAAGAACTTAATTCGTTCTGGAGGTCTGTTCTTAACCTGAAACTGTTCTTAACTTGAAGCACCACTTTAGCTAATGGGGCCTCCTGCTGCCGCTGCGCCGCCGCTGCACGATTTCTGTTCTCATCCTGAAGCAAAGTTCTTAACCCGAGGTACTATTTCTGGGTTAGCAAAGTCTGTAACGTGAAGCGTATGCAACCTGAAGCCTATGTAACCCGAGGTATCACTGTATGTAATTGGATACTGGTTCATATTCAAACTAAATTAGGATGGGTTCACCCAAATATATTTCAGACAAGGGCCCACAGCAAAGAGTGGCTGCCACTGAGCCCCCAGATCCAGGTAGATCATAGAGAGGCATTATTGGTTGTTGCCGTCAATCTCTGGAACTCCTTTTGAAAGCTGAGGTTAACCTATTTCAGCAGTATTGAAATACCTATTTGGCTTTGGTTTTCTGGGCACAATTAAGCTTTTTATTAGGGATGAGGTTTTAGTACATATTTTATTTGCTGCCTGGTTATTATTTGAATACTATATAATGGTCCATCAATTTAATGGGTAGGGTAGGTTATGTTTCGTACCTTCTGCCTCACTTGGCCTATGGTATTGCTTTTTTACTTTTGGCTCTCAGCTGTGTTTAAGGTGCTTTGAGGCCATGCTAACAGGGAAGGTTACCTCTGGGGAAGTTGAAGTGGTTCTACAAGTTGCATGGAGCACCTCACTTTCCCCTCCTTGCTTATCTTCACTGTCTTTTCCGCTCCTTGCCCACCTGCCAACTTTTTGACCAACCTCTGCACCCTTAATCTCCTTGGTATGCAGGCAATAGAAGGTGATCATGCCTATTTCCTAGCTGTTAAAATTGCTGTTAAAACCACAAGAACAGGCCAGGGTATTTTTTTCTGGTCAGTTAGCAACCCAGCCCTAGGGAGGCACTAGGGAACGAAAGGCAGTTCTGTGCACTTTGGGATGAAGATGGAGAACTGGTTTTAATTCTGTGGCTTCCTTTTATTTTTACACAGTGGCCCAGGAATAAAATGGGACACAGGTCCCAATGATATAGAAATTAACACAGTATTATGAGGGCTTTATGTTCCAGTTACAAAACCCTATGTGTTGCATGACAAAGGACTTTAAAATAATTTGTAGCTGGACTATGAACTCTCCCAGAAAAATAAAAGAATACTGCTGATTTGTACATGAAGGTTATTTCATTTATATGCATGGAAATTGCTAGTTGCTTAGCGTTAAGGCTATGCTAAAACAAAATGTCTGGGTAACAAAACCAGTTAATGTCGTTTACAACTGTCCAGATGAAAAGCTCTGCACAAATCTACTGTTGGCCCTCAATATGGAGTGATTTTTTAACCAATGTGAGTGAAAGGTCATACATACTTCACTTCAGCTTAAATTGAATTTACATGATGCAGATGCATAAGAGCATGTATGAGATACACCACGGGTGAGATTTCCCTGTGTACAAGCACGTGAACGACTTCTACCTCACATGCCATCTGTAGACAGATCTTTATTGATATGGGCATCTTCTGCTAGGCCTGTGGGCAGCGAGGAGAAATTTAGCACCTTAAGAGTGGAGAGTTTGTTATATTAACCTGCCTGCCACGGACAGACAACACACAGCAGTTTCCTTCCTAGGTGAAGTGTGAGCCTTTCAGAGATACTCATTGTGGCCATTTTAGATTCAGCTTCCCTGCCCTCTATGCACGGTTGATTTTCAGGTTTTTCTTCCCTTTTGGAGCTCAGATCCTTTATTTTGTCTTTACAGCCTGGCTGAATAGAAATCATTTATTTTATGCAGCTTTGTGCTTTTTTTCCTCTACAGCTAGTATCTGCATGAATGTGTTGTAGCCCGATGCGAGTTCATTCGATTAAATAAAATGCTTAAATTGTAATCCGTGCAAAACGATCATATTTGAAACACTTGATGTCTCGGTGAGAATCCATAATAGTGATCAGATTTAAATGATTTAACACAGTAGTTGTAGGGAGGGAAATACAGTTTCAAGACATCCGTGTATTTATATATAAAAAAGATTAAAACTAAAGTCAGATATGCTTCTCCCTCTGCCTCTCTCCTTTTTTTAAGCAGTCAAAAGATATACTGTATCCTCTGTGAAAGGGCGCTTTCAATCCAGTTATCCACTTTACCCAGTTTCAGATTCCAGAACCTTCTACACACCCTCATTGGTTAAACCACTAAGCCTTTGATTCCTTCCTGATTACACTATGCAAGACATCTATCAAACACTGTCTTATCTGTTTGTAAGGCAGCTCAGGCCTCAGATTTAAGTCATGGGTTTTGGCTACAAGTTAGAGTGTGATTAATAATTGACTAATGTAGCTTTTATTTATCACAGGCTAGCACATTTCACCATTACCGAGTTAACATAAATTAAGTGTAAGCTGTCGTTCAATCTGTTTTTCAACTCCCCACCCCCCCCACCCCGCTTCAAATCCTAAGTCTATCTTTCACTTTTTTAGAAACAAAATCCTTACACAGGGCACAGTCTTAGTCAGTGCCAAAAAGTTGATTTCCTTTTCAGTGGAGTCATATATCACTAGCCCTCCCAGCTGCAGTGTCAGCCTCTGACAGAATGACATGTGTCATTTATCAAAGGGGCCAGTCCGGGCCTTGGGAAACGTACATGACAAAGCCTGAGAGAGTTCATTTCGTAGTCCCCTCCTACCCTCTCTGAGCCTCTTGCCAGGAAAGCCTGTGATGTTTCTGTCTTCACAGCATTACTGTAAGTCCTTCAACCTTCACAAAATTAACCCTCACAACCTCCACCATCATCACTAATATGGATTCTTCCTTGGAGAGTTCGGAAATCTTTCTCTCTCTTTCTTTCTTTCTTTCTTTCTTTCTTTCTTTCTTTCTTTCTTTCTTTCTTTCTTGTGGGGGACACAATTAGTGATGGTATATTCTTGCAAAGTTTAGCTGCATTTAAGTCATCTATGTGTGGGGCACTACTATACAAGAAGTAAAATACTAAGTTTTCTCATTACAAGAAAAAAGAGACCTAACAATTTCCGAAGTGTTTCAGCCTCCTCTCTTAAACTCACTTATTACAGAGTAAGCCCCATTGTTCAATGTAGGACTACCCACTGAGGAAACATGCATAGGATTGTAATGTTGCTGTGATATAAAAGGTCTGGCACTGCACAGAATACCTTCCCTATGAATTTTCATGCATTTTGTCGTTGTTCAGATTTTGTCTCTGCTAAGCTTTTTGCTTGGTTTTGAATATTAAGTACTTCAATATAAAGTACCTGAACAGGTAACATAGGGGGTTTCTTTTCTGTGTAGCATAAATGACTCATACAACACCTGCACAAATAAGGTGACTTAGTTTACATAATTCTCCGTAAAAAGTGCTTCACTTACAAAGAAGAAAAGCAACTGCAACTAAAATAGTTTTACACTCGGTTGTTTATTTATTTTTTACCCTTGTCATTCAGTACTATTATAAGGCCATTAAGATTAACGGCTCAAATGTGATTATTTTCTTTTAACCATAGATCAGACTGCCAGAATATAAACATATTTTTAGCTGAAACAAAAGTTTTCCCCAACTGTCTCGTTTTTATTTCGTATGAGAGAACAGTTATTGTTTTCTCACTCACACAGACCCCTTTAAAAACATTATGCATAGCTGCTGCTATCACAGTAAAATTATTTACAGCATCAGATATCATTTAAAGAGATAGCTAAGGGGACTGTAGCCTCAGCGAGGAACTTTCTAGAAAGGAACCCTATAAATTAGCCATTGCTCAGGAGTGGCTGTTTTCTAGTCAGGGCTGGTCCTTTCATTTGTCTACATAAGGCTAATTTATTTTTGCAGCCAGATGTGAGCTGACAGCCATCACTCAGAGTTTCCTTCCCCCACTGTTAGGAGGTCGGGAAAACAGTCACGTTTCCCATTTTACAGAATCCCCATCAACATTATTGAAGATGGATGTATCTTTAAAGCAAAGATTGATTGTGGATATCGGAGTTATGGTGTCATTTATCATGGTGAATATTATTTAGACTTGGATTGTACAAGGCTGTAACTTGAGACACAGCCAGGGGAGGGACAATCTGGAAACGAGGATCCATGAACTTTAATGGATGGATGCTTTTTCAAAGCTCCACTCACTACAGCATGATTTACTTTTCTTACAGAAAGGAAACAAGCATTTCAGTTTTAAAGGGCCAGCATGCCTTCTTGTCTCCTTTTGTGGATCCTTCATAGAAACATCAAAGGCTTACAGCTGAGACACAAATAGAGTGATTGAATATGAATTTTACATGTATGCAATTAATCCTAGCTTAAATATATCATCATAAGAGACATTAAATGAGGTGCACTCAAGGCTTTTGTTTGCTTGGGCCTTTAGTCACATGGCTGCTGAAGTGCTGCAGCCTAGCTGTATTCTGTATGAGATATCATGAAATTCTGGTAGCATTAAATATAACCTGATAACCAGTGTGTCATATTGTGAAAGCTTTCTATATCAAATGGAGTCTAAAACATACAGTTGCACGTTGCTTGAAGTGTCCTATTGATATGAACCAACTATTGACACTCAGTTGTCCAGCATGGCAGTACATCTTTTGATACATAAAATGTGGCAAAATGAAGGTTTTTTTTAAAAAAATAACCTAATTTTATTGAGATTTTTTTGCAATGTATAGTAAATCATTCTTATTGCCATATGCCCATATGGTATTACTGCAAAAAAGAAAAAGAAAAAAAGAGAGAGGTCTGATCTGTGTGCAATGTTAAGTTGATAGCAATTTGTGGTGTTTGTACATTATATTGGTTGATACCAATGGTAGGGGGTTAGGATCATTTCCTTGCTTCCCAGCCTCCTTTCCTATTCACTGCAAATTCTCATCATTCCGAACCATAATTTGCTGGTACATCCATATTGAAGTTAGCCATAGTTCCTAATTTGGAATTTGTAACCAGCTTCAAATCAGTTTTTCAAATGTTAGGTGGGAATGTTTGCATTAACTGCAGTTAATGACATTGGATGGTGAACCATGGTTAAGTGCTGTGGGGAAAGGGTGGGGAAATCCATGCTTGAGAGGGGAGGACCTGGGGGGAAAGGGCATTATAGTCCTACCACCTGCAGTCAATCCTATAACCATGGTTAAGGCCTGGCTTGTATTACATATATGCTGGTCTTGGAAGTACTTTCTCACTTTTTCAGGTGAAGCTTGCAATGGTGCGTAAAGCACGATGATGCAGTTCTGCTTAGAGTGTTGTTACCAACTCGTTGTTCTAGAACTTTCATTAAGTTCGTAACAACGTAATTTATATTTCAAAATGCAGTCGTTTTAAATTTTGTAATGTTGTTTGTGCTTAAAACTAATTTAACCTTTCTGTAAATATTTAGCTAAATTGTAGAATATGAGCAATCTGGTGAACCAAAGAATAGCATGTATGGCATGAGTACAGATGATGGGGTAAAGAATGATTTCTGAAAATGAAGGCATCAGGGGATCTTGGTAATGTGATGCTATGGACCCAGGAGAGGCTTGTTCTACTGATTGCTCTGGATGCTTTTTATGCTTCACAAAAATGGCTACTGTTGGGTTCATTATGAGGCCTTCCAGATTTGGTTTTGAGCAGATACATTTTTTACATCGGAAATAAAATGGGCATGAGGTAACTAACTGGAGGGTGTCTTATAATGTTCTATAGATTTCATTCTCCAGTTCGTAGAGATCAGCTTCTAGTTGTGTAGTAGGCAAACATCTTTAGTGAGTAGTCTTTCTAAATAATAATCGTAAGCTACGTTTTTGACTCGTCTGCTGCTGTTGAATTAGTTCCATTTTACAGTTTACTGTTTTGATTATTTGATGTTCTTAATACGTTTTGGTGGCTGCTTTGAGTGAGTAACTTTTTTAGGACCAAAAATTCAGGATTGGAATGATCCTATAAATAATAAATGTCTGGAAAACCCAATACTTCATAATATACAGGCCGTAATAGGCATTGGAATTATCTCCTTTTTAACCCTAAAAACAAGGTGTAAGCTTGGTTTTAAGAGAAAGAATATAAAACATTAATGAAAGTTTTGTGCAACCAGAATTAACTTTTTTCTAACCTTGAAAAACAAAACAAGGTGTAAGCTTGGTATTAAACTCAACGTTAAAAGAGAGAGAAATAATATAAAACATTAATGAAAGTTTTGTGGAAGCAGAATTAAAATCAGCAACAAAAATAAAAACAATTAAGAGCATCTGTTTTAGAATGCTTATCAGTTCTGTTTATAACAAACGAAGAAAATCCATTATCTGCAACAATAAGGGGAATTTCCTTTTCCAAATGTTGATTTACTTGCAGAAGTGTGATCTTGCATTTAGATATTTTTGGCAACTAATGTTCCTCTCTGGTGTTTGACATTATAATTTCAGGGATACCAGTCTGCATTCTGAGCAGTTTATAGCCTACTTCACAACGCAGTTACGACGAGGGGTTGGCATCTAAACTAATTTAGACACTTTCTCTGATAGGGAACCCACAGATAGCATGATCTACAACACACTTAAGCCAATGTTATTTGATTTTAGCCTATATGCTCCAGTATTTAATACATTTTGGAAATAATAGCATTGAGTTTAATATGCTCATAATTGTGTCCACCTATGGCAATTACAAGGGAAATGGCAATCTGGTTGTGGTGGCATGTTGCCAAAGGCTGAGTTCAGCACATGGTGACAGGTGCACACAACCAGCTTGGGTAAAATAGCCACTAGGCTTTTTCACTGCCACCAGATGTAATAGTTCTGACAATGACCACAGTCTCAGTAAGTGTGTTTAGGGTGCAGCCTGGTCTTAGACATACTACTTGCTTTGAAGTCAGTTCCATAGATGTCGAAGAGAATTCCAAGCACATATGTTTAGGATCAAGATTAGTCCAATTCAGTGCAAATAAATTTGCTTAAATCCTAATACTTTGGCTTAAAATTAAATGGAGTTGTGGTTTGGGTTGTCAGCCCATTCTAGACCTATAAACGTGGTTGAATTTGCATGAGGGTTATTTTTCTCCCGACCTGGAAGCATGCAACATGTTTACAAACAGGAAGCAGTTCATTATATTCATATTTATCACAACATCTGTAATGTCGACCAGGGGTCAAGTCATTACACTAAATTTATTGTAACCATTATTAATGCATGTAGGCTTGTGCCTCAGTTATGATATAAGACTGCTGTTTCTTGATTAAAAGCTGTTTGGCAATGCCGAGATAGAATACAGATTCTCCCTGCCTCATGGTGACTGACAGCAGCTTCTGGTATTCTTCTTTTTTCTGGCAGTGGAGTATATTAATATGAACACACCTTGCAGAGTAGGCTCAGAGCTGCAAGAAGTATAGAATGCAGAAAACTGTCTAATTTCAGCAGGCACAACTGTGCCTCCATAAGGTAGCCAAATTTATCACGGCACATTACAGAATGCAGCAAATGTCATGAAAGCCATTGTTTTTTAATTTTTTTCCCTGGGTGTCTGAATGAGGTGATTTATGGTAGTTATCCATCTTAAGGGTCATCTATCAATTTTTAGTTGCTAGGCAATCAAACTAGCAGCTGTTTGCTTTGAATCAAGCTGAAAAGTTGTCAGTCATCGCATGCAGGTATGACCTTAGTGGTTAAATGCATTACCATGCATGCAAAATTAAAAGAAACAATGTCCTCCATTTCACCCATCATGTATGGCATATTGTAAGGCTTAACGATAATTGTAGTACAAAATGAAGTGGTGAAAAAGGAGTTTGTGTGCGCTACATACTAGACAATACCTTCTGTTTTCCTCCCAAAATAGCTAGTTATATCTTTTCAGCATGGAACGTTGTTTTCCCTATTATCCCTTTCCTTTCTAAGAAGTGTTCATTTTGAAGACAGCGACAAAAGGAAGACAAGGTCATCTTCTAAGATACAAATTCTTAGGATGGTAGAACCTCCCTACTATTCCAGCAGAAATTTTGCTCTTACGTTGCAGTTTCCAGGGACCTTAAACATTGCATTGACACAAATGTTTAGCTTTGAGGAAGCCATATTCTATTAATGAAAATTAGATTACCGTGGCTGCGATCCTAAACACACTTACTGGCAATAAATTTCATTGAGCTACGTGGAACTTTCTACTGGGTAAACATACTTAAGATTGCAGTGTGTCCACGTGTGTCTCCTGCAGTCAGCTTGCTAATGTTATCTTGAGAGGATAAATCTAAGAAAGAGAAAAACTATTGTGCAAGCCATACTCGGGCTTTGTAAGCAGATGATTCTAGTGACAGCACCACACAGTGCTCATTTTTGAAGCGTTCACATTCTGCTCAACTACTGCTTGTTAGTATCCCGATATACTAATGCCCTGCTATTAGTATACAAAGTGCTTCACAATCTTTTATATCATCTGTCCTCGTAACAAATTGTGAGGTAGATCTTTAACATTCCTGTTTTGCAGAAGGAGCACTGAGGTTGAAGGATAGTGATTTAAAACAGAAGTATGTGTGGTACAGTGCTTGCTACTGACTAAGCATCAGGAAGAACTTTCTGACAGTAGGAGCTGTTCGACAGTGGAACGGTCTCCCTCGGGAGGGGATGGACTCTTTTCCTTGGAGGTTTTTAAGCAGAGATTATGTGGCCGTCTGCCATGTATGATTTAGATGAGATTCCAGCATTGCAGAGGGTTGAGCTAGATGACCCTTGGGGTTCCTTCCAGATCTGCAGTTCTATGATTCTTTGAAAGGCAGTCATCATCACTTCTTTATATTGCAATCTGTACGCAATTTTGTGTCTGCCTGGTCAACTGCTGACATCCTCCAAAATACGGAAAAATAACTGAAACGAAAGCCTCAAGAGAGTGTCACTGCTTTTGAAAATCTAAACAAACCAGCCTACCCTGGAAATATTATACAGGGTTTGATGCAGAGGATTCTGGACAGCATTTGAAGAGAATTGATTTGCAGATGGCTTCAGCAGGAGGGCAAAACTGTGTTTAAATGATCCTTCAATGTAAGAATTTAGACCAATGTCAGAAAAGTTCACATCCTGTACATTCTAGTTAATAAGAAATGGCATCTATCCACAACAATAATTGTGTACACCCCTCGCCCCCCCCCGGCTGTTGAAGAAAGAACTTCTCTGAGTTGTCAAGAAGCTTCATAGAAGAAAAGGGAGAGAAGCTTTTAAGCATGTGTACTGTGCATTTGTGACACTGTATTTATTTTGAGTTGTTTTGGGCACGGTTCACCATGGAAAAGTGACATATAAATTAAACTGAACTAAACTAAAAATATGCTTCTTGAAATTGCTTGAATTTGAAGCATTATGTGCAGCTCTGTGTATCAGATAAATCAGCAGTAAAACTCTGACCTGTGACATGCTCCTGAGAGTTCTTGCCAAAACACTACTGCAGTGATTCTACTGGTTACAACACTGCTTTCAGTAGATGCACTCTATCTTGATCAACAGTGCTAAACAGGACAAGGGCTCAGCAGCCTTGACAATTTTTTTCTCTTTTTGGTTCGTAGCTTCAGATGACTGCATATAGGCAGAGCATTCCAAAGGTGGTGATGGTAGATTCTCTTACACAGAAACTGTCATTACTTAAAACCTGCTGGCTCGGTCCAGCCAGGGCAAAAGGCGTTGTGGACAGGGAAATTATTTCCCTCTCCCGAAATTCAGACTTCATTTTGTTAAGAGTCCTGGGAATTGTAGCTTTGTGAGGGGTAAACTATAGTTCTAAGGATTCTGTGTGGGGAAGCCATGACTATTAAAGTGGTTTAAATGTGGTTTAAATGTGTGCTATAGGTGTAACACAATTTGCTCGCCTCTGTTGAAGTAGGAAATACGGATTTAAAAGCCCACACAACACATTTGGGAACTATGCACACTTTTGAGGAAACTGATGCAAAGTTGTACTGGTGATAAAACCCTTATGCTTCTTTAAAACAATTGCCAATTTTAAATTATTATTATTATACTATTTTCACATAGGTTTATAAAACCAAACATAGCATAAACATGGAAAGTAAGAAAAATAAAATAATTAGAGCCTTTAGATAAAATAAGGATCAGTTAAAATCTACAGCACATGTGTTGAAGCTAGTGCCATGCATACAAATAAATCAAATGATGGACCCATGATAAATAAGGCATGGCCTGGTAATCACTTTCCATAGTGAACTAGAAAGCTTCACCAGACATTGAGATTACTAGTCTTTGCTATGAATATATAATTTTATATTTTCCAGGCTTTGCTGGTGGTCTGTCCATACTTTTGATAAGTGTGATTGATGAGACAACTAGGTAGGCAGAAAAGTTTAGCCTTGTGGTAACAAGAGCACGGATTATCTGGTCCAGTATTCTGTTTTCTCAGTGTCTAATGAGATTCCAGTGGGAAGCTCACAAGAAGGACCTGACTGCAACATCACCCTCCCCACTTGAGCTCCCCAGTAACTAGTATTCAGAAGCTTGCTGCAGTTGCCTAGGTCATTATGTTTTCAGCTGTGCAGAATCTAACTTGACAAGCTAGTGACAATCTGTACTGTGTGTAGGAGTTTTGGGTGCTTGCAAAAGTGTGTTTTGCTTTTCCACTTTCCCGACTGATGTGGTGAGAGCTAGTTTGTGCAAGTGTACTTCCTTTGTTGAAAAGATGCTATGGATGTGCCCCGAAGTCTCAGTGTCTCCCACTCCAACTCTACTGCAGAGGAAGTCACAGGTGTGATATAACTCCCAAGAGTAATGAAAGGGTGGTTGGCAACCATGGATTTGATGCTGCTCAGTTTGTAACACAGAATTTTCGCTTGAGGTATTTTTATTTTTATTATTTTTTGCTATAAGCCCCTTCAACTTTTTCTTGGCTCTCCGCTCCTGGCTGTCATTTTGCTTCTTGAAGGAGGCAGGGTTTTGTTTTCATTTTTTCTTTCTTTCAAAGCATTGGAAACCACAACACTGCTTCATCTGGCTAGCAATTCTCTTTTGTAGTCTTGGACTGGGGTGGTTAGCACTAGTAAGGGGTATAATGTTTATTCCTGAATACATTGAAGGCAAACCTCTATAATGCCTGGAGTTTGGTCTATATATCTATATGAGTGACTTATAGACTACTTGATCACAATAGGTCAGGTTTCAATGATATGGCTAATACTCAAGGCTTTTTTTCAGCTGGAGCTCACTGGATCTCAGCTCCAGCTCTTGTCACGTGGGCGCCATTGCCATTCTAAGAAAATAAGGGAGAAGTTCATGGTGAGTTGCAGCATCTATTTTTCTAGAAAAACCGCACTGCTGATATTAATCCTGTCCTCAAGGGCTCAAAGCTAAAGGGTAGCAAAGAGTTGTAAGAAAGATAAGATCCCAAAATAGCCTATATCAACATAATAAAAATTAATAAGAGCCATGTATTGTATCATTCCCTCTCTCTTGTATCTTATTCATCTCACTCAGGAGCCACCAGGCTCACACCTCACACTTTGGAACAGTGTTTTCCCACAAGGAACCTCTGTTTGGAGGGTAGGGGTGGGGAGGCAGTACTGTGGGATGTGGGCATTGTCATTCCATATTATCCATATTATTCCAAAAAATCAATAAAATATTGTTGTTTTTAAAAGAGGAGTCAATGTGGTGCCTGCCAGGTGTTGCTGAACTATGAATCCTATCAGCCCAATCCAGCATGGCCAGTGGTTGGAGATCAAGCAAGTTGTGGTCTAACAATATATGGAGGGCACTGTTTGCTTCTACCAAACTAGCTGATATTCCTTTTTCTCTACCTTCTCTTCTTCACCATATTTTTGTTCAGTGAGTAGCTGAAACTTCTTCATCCAACGCAGTTGCAGTCACTCAGCCCAATGCTCAAACTTCTTGGTTTTCAACTTCTTTAATTCTACCAGAGTTGGGAATTGTCTGCTATCAAATGCATGTCTTTCAACATAGAAATCACAGAACTTACAAAACAGGTCTCTGTACATCTTTATCTGTTTTGTTTTGTTTTGTTTTGTTTTGTTTTGTTTGTTTTGTTTTGTTTGAGAGTACAGAACTAATTTCCAAATATTTTTTCAGCCTGGAAGTAATGTTTTATGTAACAGATGGGGCATACTATTTTTGAGGTGGAATGCCAGACAAAGGAGATGAGTTTCTATTCTGGATGACCAAAGCTCTCTCCAGAGATTGGGTAGGAAAGGAAGGGGAGGAGGAAAATACAAGAAGGGGTTGAACTATAGCTGATGGTTCTGTATAAGCTTTCTGCAGTTATTTGAGATTGGACACGTGTAAACTTCGTTTGTCATGTGAGAGTAACTGTAATTCCGCTGCAGCGTTTGGCAAACAGAAAAACGTTTGTTTTCCATTTTGTTCGTTTATCAAATTTGTTCCCCCAGAGAAGTCAAGGCAGCATTCACAGAGTTATCCCTGTGTTTTTATTAAAATTGGTAAATTATGACAGAAAAGGAAATCATTTGCATGCATACAAAAGGAAATAATGAAAAAAAAACCCTCTAAAATAGTATGTAGCATAAGATCAAGCAAGAGAAGACGCAATTACAATATTTTCATTTGGTGAGTCCGTACGTGAATTCCTTAGTTATCTCATTTCATCTTTCCAACAACCATTTGAGGCAGGCTACTCTGAAAGAGGAAGTACGTTCAAAAGGTATGGCGATATTCATTAGGATATATAGCTTTAATAAAGCACTATGAGAACTCAGGAAGGAGAAGTATTTCAATCTGGTGGTGCTGTCCCCCTAGAATTTAAAACCTCATGGGTAAGTGGGGAGTATGTGACTCTGGTGTGAAAAGTGGGATTGTGTTCCCTTGAGAGAAAATGAGAACTGATGTGATTGAATGTAAGAAATAGCAGCAGATGGTGGAAACCAGTTGGTGATCTTGTTCTCCCTGAAGGGCTTCTGTTTCAGCTAACAGAAGGGGAAAGCAGACAGCTTTTGCAGATTTTCCCTCCCCCGTGCAGTTGCCAGCACCCCCTAAAAACTGAGTTGAGGAACCTTCCAGAACAGGGTTGAAGGTAGCATGGAGATATGGAGGTGGAAAGGAGAACTGGCAAAAACGCCCTCCCCTCCCTTTTTATTAGCAGAGGTGTCCACTGGATCAAAAGCCATGGTATCCACTGGATCAAAAGCGACAGGGCACTAACTGATTCCTCACAATACTCTAGGTAGAAAAGCTTCAGAAGAAGTTTGTAGAAAACCTTAAAGTAAGCCTGAAGAAGTCTGTGCAAGAGCAAGTTAGATAACCAGCTATGAGGCATGAAGGCTAACCCCGAAGCCGGTGGAGTGCTGTAGTCAATAGCTGAGAATCGGAACAAGGGGACGCTAGAAACTGGTAGTTTTGAGGAGACATCGACAGATGAAGTAAATGGTGTGTGTTGGTTGAATATGAAGCATCGTCTTGGAGTTCAGGATCTGTCTAGTGCAGAGTGGCAGATACTCTGTTCCTTGCTTCCATTTATGGTTGTAATGTTAAGGGAACCCTGTCTGTGTTTTGTACATTCCAGTTCACCAGAGTCAGGAGCAGTTCCAGTCTAGGTTTTACAAAAAGCTCAGGAGCTCTTGATATGGGACCTGAGGCATTTGAAGAGAGATTTCTGGTGGGCTTTTCCCATGTCCTATATGTGTGTGTTAGAGTTTGTTCCAATTAAAGTCATTTTGTCACCATCAGTCGAGTAAAGAGTTGATCTTACAGTGGTATGCTTGCATATTGCAAATAAATTAGGGCCCCTCCGGGCATCTTTCTCTTTCATAATGACTTGTGTGCATGATGATATTGGGATGGCTATACACGATCTTGCTTTCAATATTGCGCCTGCAAACGTTACAGGACAGACATAGTTCTTCATTTCCAATCAGTGCGTGTCCCATAGCTTTCTGCTGAAATCCTGTTACAAATGTAACATGTTTGTTTGTTTGTTTGCTCCTTCTTTTGTTGCACTGTAGTGCAGGTGTATCCCTCCAAACAGCAGTAATGTGGTAACATTGCAGAAGCATTACAGAAACACTAATGAAATGGAAAGATGTGTGGATGGTCCAGTATAAATCCACCTGTAATTCACTGATGATATGGCAGATTACACACACAAACACACCAAACAAACAAGCCAAACAAAACCAGCTTGGAGGGCCCCCCAGACATTACAAAGACAGCCTAATTCCCCCAATGCTCTCTCATCCAAACTAAATCTGTTATCACTGTCCTCTGGAATAGCTCATGCCTAGTGGAAGAACAGACCATGTAACAGTATGTTTTCTTGTGCATTTCGGTTTAAAAAAAATGTATTTCACTGTGTTGTGGTAGAAAGGATTTTGTGGGTGCTTCCAAACCCAGACATTTAAAAGATGCCCTGAATTGGTGTGCCTTACTGCTGCAAGCCACGTGGAGATTCCTTCTAATGCAAAAAGATTAGCAGGATCACTCCAAGGGGTACAGGCCAGATCAGAAATTGTAGCACTAAAGCATGCAGTAGTACGTCTTCTTTAGATATTCACTTTCTGTTTAGTGCCACAGGCATTGGAAAACTTCCACCTAGACACAGCCTGAGAGTCTGATTTGAGTGTTTGAGATGAGCTTTACCTAGGTTTTAAATTTCTTTTCCATGGATAAAGGTTTCTCAGCATTGACATGCTTCCCCGCTCCTTTTGATGAACTTTAACCACTTCTTCTGTTTTAAAATTAATTACTAGTCCAGCTGTTTTAAAATTCTGCTGTCTGATCACTACCCTGTGCACTTTTGCTCTGCAATTTTATTTGCTACAAATGATCAAAGCATTCTGTGGTTTTTCTTGGATCATGGAAATAAAGAAATTGGATAGTGTCAAGGGCAGAAAGCACTGAAAATGGACAGGCAATCAAAAGTCAAATTCAGTAGAAAATACAGGTGAAAATAGCTAAACAGTGATCACGAAGAACATAGAACAATGTGTCATTGCTATCAAAATACCGAAATGTGAAAGAGAAAAGTTGCTCACAACTCTGGTACAAAATGTCATGTTCCTGTGACCATTTTATTTACTTGGTTGTAAACATTTGATAAGGGACGCGGGTGGCGCTGTGGGTAAAACCTCAGTGCCTAGGACTTGCCGATCGCATGGTCGGCGGTTCGAATCCCCGTGGCGGGGTGAGCTCCTGTCTTTCGGTCCCAGCTCCTGCCCACCTAGCAGTTCGAAAGCACCCTTAAGTGCAAGTAGATAAATAGGTACCGCTTTCTAGCGGGAAGGCAAACGGCGTTTCCGTGTGCTGCGCTCTTGCTGGCTCGCCAGAGCAGCTTTGTCACGCTGGCCACGTGACGCGGAAGTGTCTCCGGACAGCGCTGGCCCCCGGCCTCTTAAGTGAGATGGGCGCACAACCCTAGAGTCGGACACGACTGGCCCGTACGGGCAGGGGTACCTTTACCTTTAAACATTTGATAAATTACATCAGCCAAATGGAATATTTACTTTCAGAAATTGATGACTTTATTTCCTGAGAGTGTGTGACCTCTCATGCATGTATGTAGAGCAGGCTATTGTTTTTCTCTGGTAAAGTTAGTTTTCTCAGTCTGTTTTGCTAAGAGAAGTGAACTTCACGTAAGCCTTCTGCTTAGGTAGATACTTAATGGTGGTTATACCACTATGACAAAATCTTGTTGTAAGTGATTATTACATGACAAAGCAGTAAAGCAGTTTATTACTAGAAGCTGTAAATTATATTCATTGTGTTGTGTTTGAGTAGCATTCTTTTGGCATAATGTGTTCAGCTCTCAACCAGTAATCTGAGAACGGACCTATATATGGCCAACAGAACTAAGTTACCATTAATACTCTTTGTATTAACTTGTCGGAGAGCATATCCTCTTCCAGTGCATATGGTTTATCATTGATAATTTTACTTACATGTTGACTTCCAGTGCAGTAAAATTACTGCCTGCAGGCCCAGTTACAGACCACAAATGACTAGAGAATAAATAATATTGCTAGTATGATAATCTCTTACAGTTGGTATTTGGCTTTCCTGTGATATAGCAGCAGTGGAAGTTTCTGTTAGCAAGATTCAAGTACAGTGGTACCTCCGGTTACAGACACTTTGGGTTACACAATTTCAGGTTACGGACCGCAGGAAACCCGGAAGTACAGTGGTACCTCGGGTTAAGTACTTAATTCGTTCCGGGGGTCTGTTCTTAACCTGAAACTGTTCTTAATCTGAAGCACCACTTTAGCTAATGGGGCCTCCTGCTGCTGCCGCACTGCCGAAACCCGATTTCTGTTCTTATCCTGAAGCAAAGTTCTTAACCTGAAGCACTATTTCTGGGTTAGCGGAGTGTGTAACCTGAAGCGTATGTAACCTGAAGTGTATGTAACCCGAGGTACCACTGTACCGGAAAGGGTTACTTCCGGGTTTCGCTGCATGCGCAGAAGTGCTAAATCGTGCTTTGCGCATTTGCAGAAGCGCCAAATCGCGTCACGTGCATGTGTGGACGCAGCGCTGCAGGTTACGAACGCTGTGGGTTGCGGACGTGCCTCCGTCACGGATTATGTTCGCAACCCAAGCTTCCACTGTATTTTGAAACAAAAGGGTAGGATGCTTCTTTCAAAAACTGTTTTGCCAGAAAATATTTTTTGTTGGTTTACTTATTTCCCACTGTCTAGCAAAATTAAGATATGTGATACGTGTGTATCGCAAATGAGTTCCCTTCTGTTTGGTAGGATTCTGGTTAGTTGCAATTCATGTAATGTTGAGATTACATAAATGTAGGGAGCTTGAGACTAACTTGAATTAGAACTGAACATATTCCTTAGAATTGTAGGCAGTAGCATTATGATAGTGCGGTAGGGTTGTCCGCAGTGATCCCTGCCTGGTTTTCAGTTTCTGTCATCTTCCCTCCCTCTCTCACCCCCCTCCTCTTTCTTCTCTGCACTTCATTTAAAAAAATCTGCAAGAATTGCACAGCTTTCCTGAACTTTTCTATTTCTATTTTATTTTATTTAAATATATATTTAAGTGTTATTCTTTTACAGCTCCGAAAGATATGTATTAAATCTGCCTTAATTCCCTTGTACCTCCAGCAATGCATGTTTCAGCCAAAAAAATTGCTAATTGTGTGTGGCGTACCATTGGAATATTGTTTTAGGTTTGTTCTCCTTCAGTTCCCTTTTTCTTTTAAAAAGCTCTTTATTTGTAAAGCCTTCTTTGAGCTATTCACACACGATTTTTCAAAACCAAAACCTAACATAAGCATAAACGTGAACAGTATCAAAAGCAAAATAATTAGAGTGTATACGTAAAATGAGCAGAACACAAGATCTAGAGCAATGAAAGTTACAGTCATACTTGCAAAGAAAGCGAGTGCTAGAGAAGTGACAAATAAGGCATGATACACGGAACACCTCTGAATGTGAACTATAGAGCCATGTCGCGAGGCAGAACTTGCAAGGCTTTAACATACATGTATCATTTTATATTTTTGGGAGTTTGCTGCTGATCTAGCAAGGCTCCTGTCATACTAATTAGACCCCAAATAAGCAGAAAGGCCTTTGCCGCAGCTCTGCCCACGATAGCTTTAATTTGGTACATAAGCTTCTTGAACCTGAGAATATCCCACACTTTGTGAAATCATTGGATGAATAATAATAATAATAATGGTTAGTCACTTTTTTCCACAGAATTTAGGGTGTGCATGAGGAGTTCCAGTTTTTAGGTATAAATACGGAAGGGTGGATGTTTACTTAGATATCACCCTATTGATGTTAACTTTCCTGCGTTAATTGTTCCTTATGTGATAATGGAAAACTTACATGATGCACAATTTACTTCATTTTGCATTTTTAGATTTCTCACTACTATAGTTTTGTGACTAAATCTGAGTCGCGAACAAAGACAGTACTCCAGAACTATGCAAAATGGGTCGGATTTCTTTCCAAAGTCATTTTTTGTAGCAGATGAACATGAAGTTGCACGTTTTGCTTGGATACACACTGAAAGTGTCTCAACTCAGCACAGACCTGCACTAAATATCTAATCTAGTGCCAACACACTTTCATGTCTGATTGACAGATGTGTGTATCTGCTCAGCATCTTGCTAGACAGAACAAAAGAAGTATGGTTTCTAGGTGAATTTGTGCCTAGCTAACTGGTATGATTGCTACGAAACGTAATTATTCATTTCCTGTACCGTGTGCCTTTAATAATTAGCAACACACAGGAAAGGGACAGTTCCAGAGTTAACACCCATTCGTGGGTTTCAAATTTGAAGTAACTTGAATTGTTCAAAAGCCTTGAAGCAAAATACCACACACACCCTCCCAAAAGGTGACCATATTTTGTCTACAAAGCAGGTTTAGAAATATTTTTTCCAGGGGCATTAGTGCCTATCATGGTTCTAATCTAGAGGTAAGTATATGGTTAGTAACTTTCAATGCAAGATTAGCAAACTATATTAGTGTGTAACCAGAATAAATAAACTGGACAATATTTCATGGTTAATTTTCTAAATTGCTTTCATTTTTATTACTTGACTTCATTTTTACCTCGGGCCCAAATCAAACTGCTGGTTTTGACCTATGAAGCCTTAAACAGCTCAGGACCACAATATCTCATGGTCTACCTCTTCCCATATGAACCGACCCAAACCCTGCAATCATCATGTGAGGCCCTTTCTTGCATGCCTCCTCTACGAGATGTCTGGAGGGTGGTGATGTTTAGAAAGATGCTGGATGCAGATAGTGAGAGTCATAGGCCTGGCCTAGGTTCACTCTCCAAACTGACTCCTATTCTGGATGAAGAATATTTCATAGAGGTCTGGTGGCAGAGAAATAACTCTGTGATACAGCTCAGGAAATGTTTTTTCAGACAGAAGTCTTAAGGCCCTATGTAATATAGAGATCAAACGCCCTCAAGATGAGCAGGTTGATGACATTTCATTGGCAGCCTGTGACATCTAAAAGCTGAACATTGCAGAACCTAATTAGTCTGAACATAATTAGTTATAAGAGGTACCTGACAGAGCATCAAATCAGTGCAAAAGATCTTTGGTTGGATTTAGGACCCCTTTGAGGGCTTGGGGATAGAATGAAGAAAATTGCATCTGGTGCATTACAAATGAATGATGCCAAACTTAATTATTCAAGAAGAAACATGAGATCAAGCACAGAGAAATGAGCGTGTGTCTCAGTCTTTATGGTTGGAGCACAGCTGTCCTGGACAAAATCTTGACTTTGGTGTGGTAGCATCAAGAGTGACATCAAGAAATGATGGAGATGCAGAGGATACATGAGGAAAGAACACAGCAGCTGCAGGAAAAAGAGGGGGGAAATGACACTGGGAGTTTGGGTTTGCTCACCTGGAAGAGTCAGAGATGAAGACAGATTTTGAGAGTTGTTGAAACAGCAAAGCAAATGGAAGAAGCAAAGATTACCAGTGTTGAAGCAATGATTCTTCAACATCAACTTCGTTGGACTGGTCATGTTGTGAGGATGCCTGATGATCGTCTTCCAAAGCAACTACTCTATTCCGAACTTAAAAATGGAAAGCGTCATGCTGGTGGTCAACAAAAGAGGTTTAAAGGCTGTCTCAAGGCAAATCTTAAAAAGTGTAGTATAAACACTGACAACTGGGAAACATTGGCCTGCGAGTGCTCCAGTTGGAGAACATCTTTTACCAAAGGTGTTAAGGGCTTTGAAGACACTCGAACTCAGGACGCAAGGGAGAAACGTGCTAGGAGGAAGGCACGCTTGGCAAATCCACACCATGATCAACTCCCGCCCGGAAACCAATGTCCCCACTGTGGAAGGATGTGTGGATCCAGGCTTGGCCTCCACAGTCACTTACAGACTCATTGTTAAAACCATGTTTATGGAAGACAACCTTCTTCGGCTATAAGTGATCGCCAAAAAAGAAGAAGAAGAAGAAGAAGCAAATGTGAATTGGAATGGCACCAACTGAAAAAGAAGCCAGCAGCCGTGGAGTGGCCAGATTTCCATGTGTCTGTTGATAACACTCCAGTCCAGTGGTAGAGATACCTTACTAACGGACCATGAAAGTTTGTGCTGTAGTGATACTGGTGAGTGAAAACATTTCTGCTTTATATGTTGCTGTAACTTGCTCCCCAGTGTTGTAGAACAGCACCCTCTGCCCCACAGGGCTAACAAACACCATCTGCCTTGTGGGGGAAAATAAGAGAGCCGGGGCAGAAAAAAACCCACCCTCGGACATGGAGCGTTAAAGTGCGGACTTCTGCTTGGAAAGAACAGGGCAAAAGGCAAATGTGTGTATGCCCTAAACTGGATGGATCTTGGTTGGATGCTGTATGGCAGTTCTTATTTTCTTATACCAGAGATAAGAAACCTGTGGCCCTCCAAATGTTGTTGGACTTCAACTATCATCCATGATATCATTAGCCACGCCGGCTAGGACCGGTGGCAGTTGGAGTACAATAGCATTTGAAGGGCCTCACAAAGATCTTACACAATAAAGGAAAAGGAAGGTTTGATTCAGTTTGGGTTTAGTTCAGTTTGACTGCCAGAATGTTATTACTATTCTTCTAAAAGATGTTTCAAGTTCATCCTTAGCAAATATTTGCTTTGTAAAGGCATGTTCATCGCATTCTGGTCTCCAGTATGTTGATACTAGCCCATCCTCAAATCACTTCTGAGCATAAGTAGATAATAGGCTTTATAAGCGTATTTGTTTTGTTTGTTGGTGCTGTACTGGTGTAATCATAAAGTAAGTTTGAACTTTCATGTCCCTTTATCCTCTAGTGATGGACAAACTTAATGAAACAAAGGAATTAATACTAGGATAGGCCTATAAATGTGTTTTTAGGGTCACCCTGTATGGATGCTGAGCTCTCAGTTAAATTGGAACATTTGTGTGGGTACACACACATATATGAGTAGTATTAATCAGAGTAGAAGGTGGCAGAATACAGTGGATTTTTAATCCTTTTGCTGTTACAGTTATTGTTGATTCACTGTAGTTGTGCCTAGGAAAGCATCTTTGTCCAGGTCTGATAGACATACAGTATGTATGAGAGTACTGTTTTCCTTTACAGCACAACCAGACACGAAGATACGGTGAATAGGATTGGAGTAAATTTCTGTTCTGCTGTATGTGTTAATATCTAGGAATCCCACTGTAATCTCTGTTAGAAATTCTATTGTAATCTCTGCCTCCATTGCAACAATCAGTTGCAACATGAAATTTCAGTGACTGGATTTCCTGTACTATATATGAAATGAAGATGATTGCATAGAACATAAATGTGCCAGCAAGACAGATTTGCATATGGAAGTAGGTCTTCATGTGCAGCATTATGGTTGTCCATTCGCCTTCTGATATTTGCCCAGGTTTTGTAAGACAGAGTTAGATCAATGGCTAAACTAGCTCAGTACTGTTTACACTGACTGCTAGTGGCTTTTCCAGGATTTCAGATAGGAGTTTTCCCTAGCTTTGGAAATGCCAGGGATTGAACCTGGGACTTTCAACATACAAGGCAGATGCACTACCACTGAGCTGTACTCCTTCCCCAATAGCTCTTTAGACATAGCCTAAAAAATATAGCACTTGAAATGGCTAGTAATGTCTTTATGATACGGGTGGGGATGTACATTCCCATTCTGGACCTCTAGTTGTTATATACATATAGAGGAAGATTGGAGTCAAAGAGAGGTAATCTGTGTAAACAGATTTGGCAAGAATTTACCCAAATGAATTTATTTTTTTCACTTAATGGAACATGAGATACTGTACACCACAAGTAAAATATAGCACTACTATTTTGGGATCTTGCAAATGGTAGATAAGTGATCTTGTACAGCTGAATTGATGTATTGTATTCTGTACTATTGAAATGAGCCTTATAAATGAGTTTAGGAAAGTTACTAGCTCACACATTTTTAATTTTTAATTTTACTAGTCTGTTGAGGGCTGGCCGAGGAGGAAATCTGCTACATTTCTAGTACAGGGGTGTTTGTGTCTTCCATCCTATGCTTGGTTTCTGTGCTGGATGCAAGGGAGGGATAGAGCAGCCCATCTCTCCTCTGCCAGCCTGCTCACTTGCCTGTATATAATTCCTTGACCTTTATGTCTATGACTACCAGGTGAGTGGTTAAATACAAAGCTGCTTTAGACCTATATGCAGTATGTAGAGGATTCAAAATTACAATGAAACAATAGGTGATGAATTATAGTTGAAATGATACTTGGAGAAAGTGATACAAATGAATAGGGGGAATAATGCCTTGAAAAAACTCTGACCTAACTGTTACCCCATGGAGAATGGTAAACTGGTCTGAAATTTGTAATATATCCCTGTATAATGTTCCTAGATTATCACCTTCGTAATGTAAGAAAGAACTATGTTAAAAGTTAATGAAGGAACGCCAGTGGAACTCTATTAGAATATTTTTCCCGCCATTAAATGACTGGTACAGACTTTTAATGGATGTTTTAACAAGGCTCTGTTATCCAAAGGACTATTGCTCAAATTGAAATCGGGCATATAATCAGTGAAGAGAAGCATTTTGGGTGGGAGAATATCAATGAAGTGCAAGTTGGTGGGGGGTGCAGCAGTGGGAAAAGGAAAGAAGCAAGGGTTAGCCTGTATTTGTAATGACAAACGCCACAAGAATGGAGATGTGTAAACATTTCGCACAAAAATTATGGACAAGCTATCTTGAGAATGATAAACACATTACTCACACATCTTTAGATACCACTTCAGCTTTCAAAATGAACATGGCAAGGGAGACTTTGTAATCTCCTCTCCCCACTGTTTTGCTACTCTGGGAAATATTTGTCTTGACTTTTCATCAGACATGCAATTCTGGTGTTACAGGTCAGAATACAGGGAACTGCATCACTATTCTTGCATGACCACTGGGGCTATTGAGTGTGAGGAAACGGAGGTCAACAGTCTCACTGACCATGCACAAACCTAAACTAGTTCCCTGAATATGGTTATAATCTTTCACTGTCTCATCACCCTCCAGCTGCCCTATTCTTTGCAGCAAAATTCATAAGTCCTCACCAGTACCTCTGTGCTTTTCATTTCATTTCTGTTAGAGTCTTTTTATATAGCCCAGTTTGTTTTCTTTTCCTGTTGATTATTTTAATGTCTTACTTGCACTCCCTCCTTTTCCCCCTTTCCTCCTCATCACTGAAATAAGTATGCTTCTGCTAAAACGGTATTTTCTTCTCTCACCAAAATAATATCTTTCTCTTTCCTTCATTATATCCTGCATCTTCCAACCTCATCCTGGCACAGCTGCAGATTTCAGAAGCCTCTTGACAGACTGTCCTTCTTGGGTCCCCCAAAGTGCTGAATTGCTCCATATCACAGTGCCAGCATTGGCTAAATTCATGAGCAAGCATATCTGGCAGCCATGGTAGCCTTTAATGGGCCAACCATGTGGATAAGCAAGAGGGAGGACAATATTGAGGTGGGCACTTGCAGTAGTGCAGCTATTGCAGGGCATAAGTAATAATATTAGCTAGGGACGGGCAACATATCAGCCCCACTATGAAAGGTGTTGATACATGGTCTCACATTGCTTCAAGCTTATAGTCATGGGCCATATATTTCCCAGCAATGGCCCATACTTACCCACCATTCATTTTCCATTTTGCTAGGTGTTGGTTACTTGCTGGTTACGAATGGCATCATATTGGCCTTAACCCTTTGATAGGCTGATATTTAGCCATATAAAATAACCATATATTTGAAAACTTTGGTCGGTTAACACTTGTGATACCTAAGAAACATTTCTGGTTCTATCTAGATATTCTGGGGTGTTTTTCTTTTACGCTGAGTTATAAATTAGCGACCACAGAAATAAGAAAGCCAAAGCCCTTCGCTCTTGGTACTAGTAAAAGCTTCATACTGGGCATAAACTGTTGTTTCTTTTGGAATGAGGGAAGGCCAGCTCTTCTCTGAAAGCACTGAACTGGTTTAATTGAAAGAACAATTTGATTTGCTGCTATAGATGCTGCTCCAGTAAAACAGCTTGGAATGCTAACAAATTTTTTATTTTCCTCTCCCAAGCCAAGGATTTAGTACTGGCAGGTGAACTTGTGAAGGCTGCTCTCAAATATACAGAGACAATAACTGTCTTGGAGGTGGAACTTTGTCAATATTTTTTGCCTTGAGCCAAAAAAACATTCAGAATAATGGTGTGCTAAAGTCCTGCTCAAAAATGTATCAGCTAGACAAAGGGGAATTTATTCCAACTTTAGGACTGTGCTCTTTCTTAGTCATCTGTATGTTGTAGCATCAACTATCAAGACATTTGAGGATGCCTGAAGGCATGTTTCTAGTTTCCTTTAAGTGTACATAATGCCAACTATGTTTTTGTTCTAAACGGAAACATTGCCAAGTGTTAGATTCAAACTTTAACTTATTACACCCTGAAAGCTATTTGAAGATACCTCTGTATTTTAAATATTAGCCCAACAAAACCATTTATCATTATTTAACTGGGAAATAAAATATTTATAGGAGCTTGCCATTTAAATACTTCTATGTTCTTATAGCCTCTAGTGAAGACAAAGTGTGATAACAAAATACTGGGATAAATTGGCAATACATGATAATTTTATCATTATAGCAATGAATAAAAATGTGAAGACATCACGCACAGCTATAGAACATCGATACCTCCAACCCAAAAATATAGACAAAGGAAATAAATAAAACTATTTACACATGAAAAACAGTCTTCACTTCCCCTAATTAGGACTATAAATAGAGCTGAGTGGAATGGAGGTGTTACTGCCTCTCAAAAAGTAGCCCCATTTTTTTTGAAATGTGTATGTGTGTGTGTGTGTGTGTGTGGATGGATGCATCCCTGTTGTTTCAGCGACTGGACCAAATATTCCCTGTTTTGCTGGGAAGTCACAATGAAACTGCTGCAGCATGGCGAAATAGAAAGCATTGTTGTAGATGCATAGGAGCGCAGATTCTGCATATCCTCATGATATTACAGTTAGTGGAATGTGTGCTTGAATATACATTCCAGTGCGCATTCTGATCCAAATGGTGTGGGACTTCAGAGTGAGACCAGGTCAGCTTTGTTTGCTCACCACATGAGTGACATTAGCATATTTAACCATGTGATCTGTGGTTGTGGTGTGCAAGTCCTATTTCTCTTACCTAAAACCATTTGGACTCTGAGGGTTTTTGTTGAATATTGGTAAAATGTCATGGTTTCCAATGAACATGTAACAGGAATGCTTGAAAAGCCCAAGTGAGTGAAGCACCCTAATTTTTCTGCAAGTTTCCCCTGACTTCCTTGAGCAAAATAGGCCTTATGATGGGGAAGGGTGATGGCTTAAGGCACTTGGGGCAGCTCATTAGCACACAGGAAAGGTCTTGCAAGGCTTCTCCATAGCTTGGAGCATAAGTTCCTCCTGGGGCTGGTAGTTGGTAGAACATGAGACTCTTAATCTTCGGATCATGGGTTCAAGCCCCACGCAGAGAAAAAGGATTCCTGCATTGCATGGGGTTTGGCCTTGATTAGCATTGTGGCCCCTTCCAATTCTATGATTCTATAATTCTATGACCAATGATCAGACTGGGTAGTAGGAGGGATATAGCTCAAGGCCCATTATAAGTCAAATCCATCTCTGATTGTTCTGGGCTTAACCTCACTGAGGGTAGATCTTTCAAGCAGGGAACATTTGTTTTTCTAGCTCCTGTTTAAAGTCTTGCTCTATCTCTTAATTCCCCTTAGCTAGGATCACATAGTGAAGGAGAAAGTAGAAACACTTTAAGAATGGTGCAGAAAGAGCAGCAGATGAAAGGAAGAATGTTTGTGAAAATTCTTAGAGATTGTAAACTATAAGAAGCTTCAAAGTGGCATTGGCATATTGTACACCTCCAAAGCAGCAAATCCTTATGTCACCCAAAAAACTGCATTAGAAGTGAGTTTTTGATTGTGCAGTGTCACAAACACAATGCTAAGTTGCAGCTGAGGAATATGCAAACAGTATTAGTAGCAGAAAGCAGCTAGGACTGGTTTTTATGTAGACATGTGCTACTGTAATTACACAATGAGGTACAGTACCTGGAATGCTGATATTTGCCAGTGTCATAGTTGTGGCATATGATAAGAGATAAAAAGTGTCTGCACATAAGAGATAAAAAGTATCTAATTTATAGCAGGAAGTCCATTAATTTAGATATCATGCCAAATTATAGCACAAACCATTGTTTTCAAAACCACTTCAAACTGATTCTGATTTTCTGGCTGATTGCAAGCAATGGTTTGTTAAGTCACATATTGTGAAAACCTTAGCTGAGCTTTCTTTCTCAAGTCCTGCAGCTGTGACCACAGCCATGGTTTGGCTTAGTGTGTTGTCCAAACCCATACACATTTTAAACCGTTAATCAAAGTTTATTCTTAGTTTATAGCTTGTGGTTTGTCTGAAGGAGACAAACCATAAACCCAGAGTCAATTACACACTAAGCCAAGCATAGTTTAGCTTACTGCAGCACAGCAGCACCAGGACCAGAGGAGAAGCAAAGCAGCTGAAATGTCCCCTATGGGACTCTGTGTACTCATGCATTCACACTAAGCCATGGTTTGCCCTAGCATTATTTGTGATACATCACAGTGTTGTAGTTCTCTTTAAACCTGTTGTACAGCACAGTATTTCATTCATTTACTCATTCATTCAAAGCATTTCTATCCTCATCTGGAAGAGCCCCCATTGTGGCTTAGAAATGAATAGGAATAACACAGCCCCTGTCCTCAGGCTCACAATTAAAAAAAGGCATGGCAGAAAAGGAAAATGGGAGTGGGAGGGAAAGCAGGCTCTGTCTCCAAATTCTTAATGTTTCAAGTTGCTTACAGTGACCAGCTTCAATGGTAACTGACTGCTGTTCTCATGCCTCTGAGAAATAGCCTGGTGATCCAGCCTTCTGGATCACCTGAAAGTTGTTTACAAGGTGGGGCCTTTGGGCACCTAGCTAAAATCTGCTGACTTCTTGCCACTCCTGTCCCCTGCCCTGCCAGGAGATGGCCTTACCTTACATGGCAGCTGGAACTGATGATCTCTGTAAGGGGATGGAGGGATCTAGCCCAGCTAGTAAGAATAGCATTGAGTACATGAAAAATGTTATCCTGGGGATTTGATTGGGAGTGCTTTCCACTGTGTATTAATTTGTAGGACTAGCATGAAAGAAACCGTCCGTAAGAAGCAGAGATAAAGATAAGCTGCATCCATACATAATGCTAAACCATGGTTTGTTATCATGATCATGTAATCATGATCTCATGATTCTTCATGCATGGAAATTAAAGATTTTATTCCTGCTTTAGCTGCAAACCAAACATTTGCCATTATGGTTTGCAAATGCACTACAAACCTTGGTTACTGATTCAAGTTTGCTACTGACTTGCAAGTCATAGCTGTCAGTTCTGATCTCACGAGAAACCATAATTAAGATTCCTTAACCATAGTTTGATGTGATATGTAAACTGTGTCAGCCTCTTTATTTCAGAACATTATAGCTTTTTTGAATTTAATGGGTAGCCTTAATTTCAGAATGCTGCTTCTCTGTCTTCACAGATCATAAAGTATAGTTTCTTCCAGATTTTTTTTTGTCAGATAAATTTAGCGGGTTTAGATAGAAAAATACTTTTCTGTTGTTTTTGGCTGCCTATTGCTGGGCCCTGTTTTGGATTGATGTTGATAGTTCTCCTTTCTGACCACTTGTTGCTGCTATTATTGTTTATAATAATAAACAGCTGCTACATAGCCAGAAACTTTGAGAAACACAGTGGTGTTTGTATTGTCTGGAGGGATGCAAAACTTTCGATGGGTTGGAAAGGAAGTTAAGTATCAAAATATCCTGAACAGGGATTTGCTAATATTTCTCCAGTTGTGCTTCACAGTCCTTACAAACACAACGCACACAACTCCAGTGAAGATCATTGTGCTTTAAACTCTGCAAATTGGTAAAGCCTTCACGGAAAGTAACAAGGAGAGTACTTTGAAAACCTACAAGAAAGTACTTGATCAAAAATATAAAACACAAAATCATGAATCAATGGCAGCGAATTTCAGTTGAAGAATTGAAACCTAATACATTCAACTGTGACTGAAAACAAACCATGTTAAATGTTTATTAACTTGTATTTCTGTTATCAGTGGATTTATGTGTAAAGGATAGGGTAGAGGGGAAGCTAGGGAAATCTTATCCGTCTGAATTATTTGCTTCTAGCCCTTAAATGGTGATGTAAGGGGAGTGTATTTTCCTCTTCCTTTTATGCTTTCCCCTCTGCTTTGAATTAGTGTAGCTAAATATATTATGCCATACTATTTACCTCAGTCTGCAGTTTCACTACCTCTGTATGGCTTCCCACTCTTAGAATTTTGCAAATAAATCACTGATCAATGTAGAGAGGCATCACGGCAAGTGTGAAGGCAGAATATTTTTTATGATGCCATAAACTGGATTTATTATTATTTTCTGCATGCAACTTTGTACATTTAAAGTTCATCTACATAGTACGGTGTTGTATATGGGTTTCATTTAATTGACGCTAATTAACTACGGGGCTGGGTTTATTTAATATTTTTTGTTTTGTAAAATAGTTACAAATCAGTATAGGCTATGCTGCACTGGTCTCCACGATTTCTGAGAAACTATTTTTGTCCAGTATAAAATAATATATTATTTACATATTTGTAGAATAAGGATGCACTGTTAGTCTTTTGTTAATTTCCAGGTAATTAAACATTATTGTCTATTTATGAAAGAATTGATGTGATCTGTTTATAGTATCAAGACTGCATGATACCAAACTATAGTTGCATCCCTAATTAATGTACATAATTGTCATGGTTTTAAGGTGAAAATTAAAAAATGCTGTCAAATTAATCATCTACTAGGAGTTCATTAATTAGCTAACCTCATATAAATGGGCTGCATTTCGATGACAACTAGGAGTGAAAACCTAACTAACTGATGTCAGTAGGAGCATTTACATTGAATTCAGTGCGATTGGTTCCACAAAATAATTTTATCTATTCTAGAGACTGTATTGGGAAACAGGAGAAATCCTTTTATAGGTTTAGTGCTTTACAGAGGTTTTTCCAGACAGAAGTCTATCAATATGACCATCTTTAAAATAATAAAACACATTTATTGTTGAACCAAAATACACTGGGTTGTATTCAATACTGTATAAGCAGAGTTCTGCTTCCCCTTCCTTCATGCCACCCCAGATGCTTGCCCCACCTTTGGAGCAGATTTTGAGATTTTGAGGAAGATTTCAAGTAAGATGAGGAGGTAGGGAATTCCATTGGGCAAGTGGACCTCCGTTGTGTGAGCAGAACAGAAGTGTTGGACACAACCCATTTTTAACTCTCCATCTGCCAAGGTGAAATGTATAATATCGCCATTGTTTCATGATAATGTGCAGCATATTACAAAATATTTTGCCTCATAACACATTAGCAAAATGTAGTGCTTTTAAAACTGCAGAATATATAAAGAAACAGAATTTATATGGCACTTGCTTAGCGTTCTAAAATGATTCACATGCATTATCTCATTCATTTATAAAACTCTGTAAGGAAGCAGAGTGCTATTTCCATAATGCAGATAGGGAGCTGAGACTGAGAGAAAGTGATTTGCTTAAGGCCAACTGAGGTGAGAGATGAATGAGGAATTTCACATCTCACATTCTTTACCACTGCACTACACCTGGCCTCAGAAAAGGTCACATTGCTTTTTCAAGAATTATTGATAGCATGATACTCCTGAGCAGATTCATCTTGTTTCTGTAGGGAATTCTGAAATGTTGAAACATTGAGGTTTCGGTTCTATACTCACCTGGGGGAAAGCCAAATTGAACAGAGTGGTGCTTACTTCTGAGTAGACACACATAGGACTGCACTGAAAGTGTATGTAGTTTTTAATCTTGCAATCTTAAAACAAAACAAACAAACAAAAAAACTGGTCCGCAGGAAGATATCAAACATGAAGTGTTAAATTAGGTTTAGAGGGTTGTATTCAGTACAGGGCTGATGCAAGAGGAATTCCCCTTCTTTTTCTCCCCACTGCAGTCTGCCGAGCCCACAAAAAGCCTCTCTTGAGGGTCTGGGATGTGAGATAGAGGATTGCAGTGGTAGAGGGATTGCGAGAAAATAGGGCAGAGGCAATTTGCATGAGGCTCACACTCCCAGGCCTTTCCTGATTGTTCCCCACCTCTCTGATGTTACATCATGGGTAAGCATGTGTGCACAGTGGAGAGGAAGCGGCAGGCATGAATGCCCTAGTGCAAATGTGACCCTGGGTATAATGCATAATGCATTAGTTGAATTGGTTTGTTTTTTTAAAAAATTAAATGCTGCTTATTCAGAAAACTCTTAGAGTGGTATAAACTAAACAAAAATATATGGAAATGAAAAATACAACAAAACAAGTCCAGCAAAATACACAAACATCAGTGGACAACCGTAAATGATATCAGCATCCCCCTTTGAGAATTTTGAGCCAGTGTTAAAAACACAAATTGATTGAAGTTTGTCCAACTCTTGAGAAGTCAGAAAGATTCACAGAGAGAGCACCTGTTAGATGAATCTGGAACATGTTGTACAATCAGAAGGGGCAGTAAGGAAAAGGCAATCTCTTAGGTATCATGATCCCAAGTTGTTTATAGCTTTTTACCCTACTAACAAAACCTTAAATTGCCTGTTTTCAGGTCACTGGCGTATGATATTCCTTACAGGTTGTGGTGGCATGAGCAAAATGTCCTTAGATGATCTAAGTGATCTTACAGGATTATACAGGGGAAAGAGGTCTTTCAGGTAATGTGCACTTGCACTTCTTTCAACAAAAAGCTGTGCATTGCTTTCATTAATGTTAGAAGAGCGATACTTACATACATGGTCTATTTTATTTTATTTGAACCTAGAGTATTTTAAGGGTGGCTCATGGTGGCTTACAATTATGTAACTGTAGTTTTATTTATATAAGAGGAACATTTCCCTTACTATTTATGAGAGCAACATGCATTTTGAAATAGAAGCATTCAAAGGTAATTACATTTAAAAAAGCAATTCTGAAACTAACAACACAGTACCCCATATCATGAATTTATACCAACTGAAAAGCGGGTAGGGAAAAAACTTTATTTTTCCTTCCTCCAACCTCTGTGTTTGTCCATGTGTATGGTATTTCATTATGGCAAGATTATTATTAATTGTAGCCAATATATTCTTTTGTATTGTTAACCGTGTTTGCATTCATAATGCCTTGTACTAACTCATAAAGTACAACCAACACTGAATTTATATCTATCTGTTAAAGAAATTATACATTTTTGCTGTAATACTAGTGGCAACAATAACCGTACCCTATGCGGTACATTTATTATCTCCGCCCATCCAATTAAATCTCTGAGTAGGTCTCTCTTTGTTAGTCATGATATTCAGATACCAACATTTCATTCTAATACAGCATAAAGGGAAAAATCAAGACTGCCTCCTCCCTCCTATGCTGCTTTGTCAAATCTTGATGTGCCATTTTTGTGGCATCGAGGAAAACAAAATGACCCTTCCCTAAATTCCTAATGCTACAAAGTTATAATTTTAAAAATAAGAATAATCAAGCTATAGGAGAATAGATGACAGAGTGAAGAAACTCAGATTTCTTACTACACTATTGATATTGGCCTAACATTCTCTAATAATCTACTAAAATTAAGAATGGGGCAAAGTGTTTGGTCCTGAGGGCCAAGAAGAAATATCCCGCAAGCCTGAGGGCCAAAGCTAATGCATATATTTTAGTTCTGCATTATTAATGTAATTTGCATGTCATTATCAAGAACTTAGGGGATGCCACGCTACAGCTTGTGAACACATTGAGCTTATTCTACTACTGTCATTCTGAATTGCTTTCTTTCAAACTGGACAAATTTGCATTGTGATATATGAACTTGAGGCACGATTTCCTGGAAAATTTTGAACAAAGTCTCCTGAAATGCATACAGCTTTTATTTCACTAGGAATTTTCAATGAAACATGCAATGAAGCAAATGGTAGTTTTAAAAATTAGGGCAGTTGGAAATCACAATGAAGGTAAGTTTTTCCCCCTCCTAATTTGCCTTCTTGTTAGTGATCCTTTAGTATTTCTGCAGTTTCATTTCCCGAATGTGTTTTCATAATAATAGCTAGAGGTTTGCATTTATTTTTATTTTATTTTTTAAAATGTGATTCTGTGGATTGTAATAAGAGCCTGTAGACCACACAAAAGTTATTTGGGGACTCCATATTGATTACTTGCTATAAATTTCAGTTGCATTACTATTATCCTAACGTATGTGGTTCCAACCCAGCATAGTTAGGTCCTGTTAAATCTCACTTTCATTCAAGCTGAGGGGTTTGAAAAGTCTAGAAGCAGAGGATACATCCTGTAAGCAGCCTTGACTGTGGCCTATATGCCTTTTATCTTGCTGTTGTTTAGTCGTTTAGTTGTGTCTGACTCTTCGTGACCCCATGGACCACAGCACACCAGGCACTCCTGTCTTCCACTGCCTCCCGCAGTTTGGTCAAACTCATGTTAGTAGTTTCGAGAACACTGTCCAACCATCTCGTCCTCTGTTGTCCCCTTCTCCTTGTGCCCTCCATCTTTCCCAACATCAGGGTCTTTTCCAGGGAGTCTTCTCTTCTCATGAGGTTCCTTTTATCTAGCATATGACTGTGTGTGTGTGTGTGTGTGTGTGTGTGTGTGTGTGTAGACATTGCCTATCAAGCGCTTAGAAAGTGGCTTTTGGCAGCCTTTATGAAACACACACAACACCAGAGAGACAACGGAGGCAATCAAACTGCCTCACCTGCAAAAAAATTGTCTGGAATACATACATACATATACATAAATATACAAATGTGTATATTTTAAGATGCTGCTGGCATGTTTCTCTCCCCACCCCCTCTAATAGTGATGAATGCCAACAGAAACTGAGCCCTAAACAAGAAGTGATGTTACACTATGCTTGGAGAAAGTCCAAGGATTGCAAAAGTACAGAAAAGTCATATGCACACCTAAGGGGCACCCCCTTCCCAAATACTGCACAGTAAGGACTGAGCATGCACAGTAGCCAAGAAATGTTGAGTGGCAGCAGGAAAAGAAATACAAAACTGAGAACAGGGAATGGAACATCCCAATTCAACCTCATACGGTTTATAGCATCCTGGTGGAAAGCATGGCTGGTTGTCTAGAACCCCATTTCTGTTAGGTGTTGCATGTCTCATTTGTTAAACTAATTATCCAAACAGTTGTCTCTTCTGTACTGTCTCATTTTGCCATGTGGCCAGTGTTCCTTTCCTTTTGTAAAACGCTTCCCTCCAAGAGATGATGCCATAGCACCTAGCCACAGGGAGCATTCTAGCAGCTTTTCACAGCAACATTATCTAGTGTGGGGTCTGCCTGCTTCTATGGGCTTTGGGGGATCCTTTCTTAAACAGTGAGTTCTGTATTTTTCTGAAAGTATCCAGACTGTACAGTACAGTGGTACCTCGGGTTACATACGCTTCAGGTTACAGACTCCGCTAACCCAGAAATAGTGCTTCATGTTAAGAACTTTGCTTCAGGATGAGAACAGAAATTGTGCTCCGGTGGTGCAGCAGCAGCAGGCCCCATTAGCTAAAGTGGTGCTTCGGGTTAAGAACAGTTTCAGGTTAAGAACAGACCTCCGGAACGAATTAAGTACTTAACCCAAGGTACCACTGTACTATCAATTATGCCTTCACGTAGTCTAGGACACTGGTTAATGTTACAGTGTTGCTGCTGCATAGTGTGTGGATCTCTCTGGTGTTTAGAAACATGATTTAGATTATGGGAAGGCTCCATGAGAGAAAAAAATAGTGGGTCTTGGAGAAGTCAGAACTTTAAAATCCTCAGTACCCATTCCTGTCTCTAATAAGCAGTTTGCATTCCTGTATCTTGTGCTCTGACCCTTATCTGTTCTTTACTGGACTAAGAGTTCTGACATGGAGAAGGATGACTACATTATTTCAAACTGTCTGTCAAACTGTACATGGGTCATTGTTTGCTGTCTTCTACCTCTCCCCTCTCAAAAAACTTGGTTTGGGGACTTTTGCAGACGTGAAATCCTGAAAACCCACATTAAAGTTCTGTTGATTTAGTATCAAGAACCTTTATTGCTAAAAATGTGTGAGATTTACCATAAAGCAATGTGAAGAATAAATGGTTCCATTTATCGCATTTAAACCTTTAGTGCTTTTTTTACTTTTGCACATTACTGAAAATAAAGCATTTTAGAAGCTGCTTAGTTCTTTTCGAATTGAAACATTTGAATATATGTATTTATATTTACCGTAGCCAAGTGCATTTAACTTTCTGTTTGTATATACACAAACCCATATAGACAATTGTGCATACTTCAAATATGTCCCCCCCCTTTACTATATATTGAACAGCTTATTCTAGGAGAGTAGGCTTAGTCTAATAATGACATTCCCTATGTGGATGAAGAAATTGTGCTATGAACTATTAAAGAGATTAGTTTTTGTTTAGAAGTGGCAAATTTATTATTGCATCTTCTGATAGTGTTCTATCCTACTTGGTAGAGAACTAAACTGTTTTTTCTTGAAATACAGTTAATATCCACATCTCCCCACCCCCCACCCCTTTGCCATCTTTTCATTCACCTCCACTGCCTCTCAGTTTACTCTGGCAGAGGCCTAAGTAAAGTAAACCATGTGCTTTTGTGCTGTCATATTTGATTTGGACTATATTCTCACTGTTATTTGAAGCTAACATGAAATGCAGTGTCTGCATGACCCATTTTAGCAGCCCATTATCATAATTTCACTCTCATATGGCTACTGAGTTAATGTACTTACAAATGACAGAGAAAGCATGTTACATGACCTTAAGGGTTTTCAAAAATTAAATAACGTAGTAGGTTGTATTTCAAAGAATGGCTAAAGAGAACATTTTTAATTATTATTATTTTTTGCACCTTAAGGTGTCACTGGTTAGCATGGCAAACGGGATTTGTGCGTGTGTTAAATATGTGAACGTATAAGCTTTATCAGAATCTGCATTCCATAATTCACTCAAAGAAATTTTGGAAGATTGATTTAAAAATGGTTCCAAAGAGAGGTTGTTGTTGTTTTGTAATTGCCTAATGCTTTACATTTCTTCATGTAGGGTAGAGGTGGCTTTTTTTTTTGGTAATGTTTCAGTTCATAGTTGTTACGGTGATATTCAGCTATGTTTTACTCAGAGTAGACACACATTCATTTAATTTCAGTAGATCCACTCTGAGTACAACTTTGCTGATTAAGGGCGGTATTCAACTAAGTTTGAAATTTGTTCATGCACAAAGTATAAAGCCCTGAAGAATTACTGAGACAAGATTTTGGAGGCTGCCATATAATGGATCCTATTATACGATGATGACTCTTCAGCAGCCTTGTATGAGCAACTTTCTTGGCAGCCATAGATAACAAGGGATTTCATGCAGGGAAATATGCAGCCTGGCAAGAGGAGGTAGCAATCTCTCCTTCCCTCTTCCACCCATGTGCTAGGTCTCTCTGCTACCTGGGGCTGGATGAAGGAACACCTCCTAAGCTCTTTCCCTTTCCACCAGTCCTCTTGCTAGAAGGATTTTTTTTTTTTACTACCCCACTGAAAGGCTACTGTTCTGCATTCCCATCATGGTTGTGAAGGAGAGAGCTTCCCTTCTTCTGTAGCCAGCATGAGAACGGCAGAACAAAGACTGTGGGCTAATAACTTTCATGGATTTATTTACAAGACTGCTCTTAAAGAGTCATTATTTCACAGTGAAAGTATGCATGTATTCATGTAGCATTTGGATATGCATCCTATTTTAAGCATACAGGATTAGCATTTTATCAGGACATAGAGGCCTACTTGGCTTTTCAAATGGAGAGTCCTTTCTGGGTTTTGGTGAAAGGCATCAGTTGTGAATTACTGAAGTGTTTGTCTATGCATGTGTGTGTGCGTGCACACACAAACATATGGAATGAGCACAAAATTTGGGGTGGTTTCCAGCTACGTTTTACTGAGAGCAGACCTACTGATGTTAAATGAACCTCAGGCATGTTCATTAATTTGACCGGGTCTGCTCTGACTTAGTTGGCTACCATCCATGGAGTCTGGATACCTTTTCCCGATATTTACGTATTTAAGCCAGCAGTGGTATTTTTTTTGTACTCTTAAACAGTAAAAATCTTTGTTCCTGTGGAACTAGCTACTCCAGAATTACTCCAGAGCAAGCAAATAGTTCATGGAGTACAACCTGAAGCTCCATGGAGAAGCTCTGCCGCTTTCTTGTCACTGGTGCAGAATAATTTGATAAATTTACAAGTATCTTCATTATTAGTCATTGGCACTAATAAGACTAGGGAAAGATAGAAATGCAAGCATGTTTTCTGCCATCAGAAGCTGTAGCATTTAGCTAAAATTAGAAAGTTATATGTAAAGGTTTTGAGGGTGGAGTGGTGGAAGAAAATGCTGCAAGGACAGAATGAAAAAGATCCACTTAAATTATGTTTCAACTATCCTGTATTCTAATTCTTACAGCAGGGTTGGGCTATCGTCATGATGTAAGCTGTTGTCTTACCACTTTCCAGCTTGATTCCTACTGTTGGATAAATGCTGGAGGAGATAAGTGCAATGAGTGGTGAAACCCTTCTTGCCCTCGCAGATGATTTATTTATTTCCTTCCACGTATATCCTGCCTTTCCCCCAAAAAGATGCACCCAAGGTGGGATACATGTGGTTCCCAGGTTGTCATTAAAAAACTCCAAATGCCAATAACCATAAAAGCACTTTGACTGCAATTGTGAACCTCACTGAATTCAATGTAACTTATTTCTGAGTAGACGTGCAGTAGAATTGTATTGTCAGTTTCCGTCAAATAGTTCTGTGGAGGGTTGTCCTGCTGCTGTGAGCAGTTTTTCAGGGAGCACATGGAACCACAGTAGGAATCAGAGGCCCAAAGAGCTTCTGTACAAGGATTCACCTTCAGATCTTAGCCATATTCAGTTATGTATTCAAGGATTTTTCAAAGTACATATGATGCTAAATGCATCACATTCTTCTATGTGATTTTTTTTTTAAGAAGTACAAATCTTCCAATACAAAATCTTGCAGCAGTAAGTTAAAAGATTTCATTGATTTAAGTTTACCAAATTGGTTTCTTCGGCTGGTTAGCTTTGGTCTTGTTATTCTGCATTCGTTGTATTTAACAGTCATTAGAAGTGATGGTGGTTGCATACAGAACTGCCCCAAAGACCTTATCTATGTAGAAGCTTTACACGATGGGACACCATATTTAAAAGACTCTATCCTGCATGCCATTGTTGCCAACCCATTTATGCTTTTATATACCCTTATATATGATGTATTACAGAGGCCAAACTGGCCTCAATGAGAAATTGGGCATTTAGTGTCACCAGTCCCATTCTGTGGAACACTCTTCCAGCAGAGATTTAGCAGGCACCCTGTTATTATTTTCAGGCATCTCTTGAAGACCTTTTTGTAACTGTTTACATTTTTGATAAGTCAGTCATTTTAATTATCTTTATTTTTACAGTTTTTATGGTGTTTTATATTTTATTGTATATATTGTTGTGCACTGCCGTGTTGTATGAACTGGTGGTATATAAATACTTGTATAAATAACATATCAGTCTGCTGCAGCAAAAATGCCAGAGTCTTGTGGCACCTTAAAGACTTAATATACCGTATGTTATCGTGGCATGAGCTTTTGTAAACTAGAGCTGACTTTGTAATATGCAGTTGGTAAAGGGGGTGTATGTGTGTGCATGTGTGCACAGAGGAAGCAGTTTGGCCAAAAGATCATGAATGCTGGTGGTATCAATGGGCCTGAAGATAGGGGCAAAGTGATCCATTCGCAGCAGCTGTCATTGTGTTGATGCTATGTGTTTAGCTCCACCACACTCATTTTACATTAGTAGTATGCAAAAAAAACCCAACCCTAACCCAGAGTCCTGATTAAGTCTGAATTGAATTGAATTGAATCCAATCTGCTGATCAAAGTCTAGCCATTTCCTGCTGTAGAAGGTCACATATATGTTAGCAGGACCTGCACACCAATGCAGTATCTGGCTGAACAAAGAATTGCTGATATGAACCAAAGATTTTCTGTCTTTTTGGAAATCTTGCTATGGCTGTTGTAGAGTTACCTAGTGCTGGAAGTAACAGAAGTAACAGAAGTCATAGGTGGGAATGGGGAGTATGATGTAGTACTGCAAAAATAGAATAAAACCAGTGTTCCCACTGGATGTGGTTACAGATTGAAGTGCAAAATATGGTTACCCTCTGTTCCATCTTTTCCAATATTTCTTATTTTATTTTTTAAAGATCAGATGGAGGGGGGCACAGGGATCTACAAAATTAAAATTGATCAAATTGGAATACGTAGCATTTAGGGAGAGTGGGAATTGATGTTTCCAACATATTCTTTCACTTAGAGTACACAATTCATTCTGCATGCTTATATTGACGCCCATTATGTTTAACTCCTTTTCCCTTGGTCCCTATACTTGGGTGAGAAGATTATATCAAGATTTGCAGGCATTCCATATTTGACGATGGAAGGTTTTGTGATTTCATTTTAAATGCTGCATGGTATTATTCCTCCTAATTGGAATACGTTGCACAAACTAAAAGACAAGAGTCGGCAGTGTGTCTTAATAAGTTTGAGGGTAAGGTATGCAGTGTACCGTTTTCTTAAACCAATTTGCTCTGTACAGTGATTCTCAGCATGTAGCTTTTATGAAACCTAACCCAGTAATGTACCAGAAGTGGGTCTCTTGGAGATTAATATAGAAAAATGTAAGCCAGAATCCGAACATAGATAGTCCCTCACACCGAGCAGGGCTTAGGGTGTATGTTTCCACAAATCCAAAGCCCTGGTCTCCAAGCCAGTTCAAAATTCAAGCGGGACTGGATTGAACACCTGGTGTCAACACCTGGTGACCTTGGGCACCTAGAATCCTAGCAAGTTGCACTTCTGCTGCTTGCCATGGCTCCCCTTTAGAAACATTTCCAGCCCCTTGCTGCAAGCTGTCTCAGGTGGTTAGGTAAGCCATCACTTAAATTTCCACAATGTCCCAAAATACTGGCACACTGTAGGAAAAATAAATGGCAGCAAGATCCAGCCTCCTTGGCTGGACAGAGCACTGTTATAACCCTGGTGCTCTCTGCTAGGTTATCCTTCCAGGTACTGTTGTTGGAGAAGCCCACCAGAGCACACTGTGTGCAGGGTTCTCCAAACTTGGAGTCAGTCCTGAATTTAGAGAGATTCAGAAGTAACTTGGCATGTGGTTAAGGTATAGAGCTCTGCTGTTCAAAGGGGGTGGGGAGCCCCACTGTGTAGACTCCAACTCTCCAGTGCAGCTATATCCATCATAGTAATTCAATAATGACTTAAGTCCATTGATTTCAATGGGTCTAGTCTAGTAACAGTCAGTGTGGAACATTACTGGTGTTAAGGATCTAGTCTGGTGTAATTGACTTTGGAAGCCCACATTCAAATTCTATAAAAATGGAGCCATGAAGTTCACTAGGTAGCTTTGGGCAAGGCAGAATCTTTTGGCTAGTCTTATCTCATGGAGTTGTTGTAGAATGGAGTAATGCAAGGTAAATAGTAAAATATAAACATTACAAATAACTAATGGGGGTAGTAGTAATGAAAGAACACAATTATTTATTAAAATATGTGAGGCTGGTGAGGGGATGAAACACTAAAAATGCATTCATATGAGGACATCATGGGTTTCTCCTGCTGAAAGTGAACTTTTTTTAGAATTGTAAGACTGTCACAAATTTTTACTATGAAAAAGGAGTAGTTTGGGGACATGTGCTGCATTTCAAGTGAAATGTCAACTGTCAGTGAAGGCACAATTGTGATATTTGTCTCACACATACTGTTACACAATAAATCAGTTGTGGCTGATAACATTTTGACTTGGTAGGGCTGCAGCTTTTAATTTTGCTGTTTTTACAACAATAGGACTTATATAGCACTTACTTTGGAAAGGGTGGTATTACACATGTGCAGAGTGCCACACATATACACACACACACTTATTAGCCTGTTTATGGATGAAGGCACAAGCATGATTTTCAGACAAGAAAGACTTCATATCTCCTATTTATAAATTCAGCCATACCACATGATAGACACACCCATTCCCAAAAAACTAAACACACAAAGTCTTATAAATGTATGGAGAACTTAGCTACCAGTTACATGCAGTTTTCCTCCCTTCAAAAATCAATTTAACTTTTCATTATCCAAAACACTTCTCTCTAAATTAAAAGAAAAAGCGTTCCAACCTATAGACAAAAATAATTGTTTCGTTTGAGCCAGGGCTCAGAGCATAGCAAAACATAAATGCAATTCATTGCTCAGTCCTAAAAAATGTGAGGTAATAATCTCTGTTCATGCGCAGAGTGCATCACATCAGACTAATCATACTTAGCCTCTATGTGTGAGATAAGGGAGAATATCTTCCAGGTTTGGGAATGAATGTGGAGTCATATCCAGACAGGCAGACAGCTCAAACTTTTTATTTTAGAAATTCCCTGACAAAACTCCCAAAACAGCAAGCATAAGTAGTAGCACCAGCATTTCCCTACATCTCTTTGCATTCAATATATCTGAACTTAAGCTAGGTAATGCACTTGTTGGAAGCAGATCCACGAACCTTTTGTAGAAATACTCTGGGAAATACTTTGGAATTGCACATGGCTCATATCAACCTGTCCTGTCGCATCCTGAAAGCAGGGAACCCTCCTTGTTGATTCTCTGGTTACCTGCGAAGAGATTGGGCCTTGAGGGATACAGTTCTGAGCTCAGAACCGGTGTATGATTCTGAAAAAGGCTAAGGCTGCCACATGGGATTATACTTAAAGCAGACCTGTCTCCTCCCTGATAGTGGCTATGCTGGATAGCCTCCTAACAACAGATGGAGTAGGAGCCTTCCTAGTATGGCTGATTTTCTGGCTGTCAGACCAGTCACATGATTTTTCTGCTCAGAGATACATGGAAAGGACCTCTTTGCCATAGCTGCACTTTTGGATTAGGATTGGCTGAGTGGTAGAGAGAGATGATTGGCTGGAGAACAGTAGATTAGCAGAAATGTTTGCAGAGCTTCTGAGTTTAGATAAACGTGTAAAATGTGTGTGGGACAGGAAAGATTGGATTTGAGAGGTCCCCCCCGCCAATTGCTTAACATTTTCATTGAGTTGGCTGAGCCCCAGTAGCCCTAGTTGATCAACCTCCACTGGAGGTTTGTATAGTGAGCACAGTAGTGAATGCAAAACTGGGGATTTTTAAAAAATAAAAATTGCCTATCCACATCACCGCATGCTATGAAGTGTACTTGATTTTAATGCAAGTTGGATCAAATTCTGGTTCTGTTGCTTTTGTTTGTTTGTTTTGTTACATACCTGTGTCTCCAGTTAAGAGAGTGCCCATTGTCTGTATTCTTAAATCATAGGTAATAACTGATAAAAAGGAACAGTTGTTAAAGATAATCAGAGCAGTACTTGCATGTCTGGTATTTCAGCGCAAGTAGTTAATAGCCAAAAGATGTTTGCACTTAACACTCTGTGTAACTTTCAGATCTATTTCAAGGCTAAATGCTTTTTTTTAAAAAACTGCTTTTCTAAAAGTAATGTGCATTATAGCATTTATTAATATAATAAATCATCATACTTGTCAGTCAAAAGCTAAGGATGCAGGATGTGTACTGACTATTCCAGTGATGGAATATAAATCATTCAAGATTAAATTAACTGATAATTTGGAAATTTACTTGCATGCATTTTGCACTTCCATTTGTTTTGATGACTTGCACTTTCCACAACCATCCAGGATTTTTATGAACAGTTTTTAAGGCATCTCTCACCTCTTTCCTCTTCATTTTCCAATGGGCAAATTTTCACAGGAAGGAGAGTAGCAACATGGACGCCCTGCAGTAGCTGCTCCAAAAAGATTGCTGTATTTTCATTGACATGCAGTGCATTACCATAATTGGCTTTTCTACATGATAGGAGAGAGGAAATAATAATGTCATTTTATTTACAGCCAGAGTGTCGCTTTATGAGACTTCTCCAAGTTTCTGCCATGCTGTGTAGGTCAAATGACATCTTTTGATCAGTCCTGTCCAAAGATATCAAAGCTGAGTGGCATGTAATGGAGACCTAGTGACAAACCAAATCTAGAAAAGAAATAAGACTGCCAGTTTCCCATTAAACAGCCTGCTAAACAGCACAGCTTCCCTGTGTCGGCTACGAAACTACTCTGACCACCTAAATCAGGAGAATGAAAGGAGGCTGAATTGGACATTAGTACTGCAAATGACTGCCGTGATTGCCACTATTTCCCTCCTTCCCCCTCCCCCAAAAATCAGCAAGCAAACCATGCGAGTTACAGTTAGACTGGTCTTCTCCCGTTTCATTTATGTTCTGCCACTTGCTGGTTTTCTGATCTGGTTTGTTTAGGTTTGACATCAGCCAAATGGTGTAGCAGGATATCTCTGACAGATATTCTTACTGATTTAACAAGTAGCAGACCTTTGCAAAGATGGCTCTTCTACAGCAAGATTTCATCTTTCTTAAAAAGCACACACACACACACACCAAAAGCCCCGTCTTTCTTCCCTTTCATCTTCTTGCCTTCTTTTTATTATTATACTTACTGCGTACTCACTACGGTTGTGAACTCTTGCAGGGGTGGGGATATAGCTACATGTAAGATTGTATTACCCAAAGGGCTTCTGTGTCTTTCCCCTTGAACTTTGCTAGCTTTTAAAACAGGAAATTAAAGCAACGAGTTACTATGTCTACAGTTACAGTGGGGCTATCTGTATGGTTTTCCTCAGGGACAAATACTCAGAATTGGCCAAATCTCAAAATCTTTATTCTGTTTTCACTCAGTTCTCAGCAGAGTATAATTCCTTTTAGTCAGTGGGAGTTTGCCAAAGTGAGCACAGTGTTCAAACTGTGTGTGCCAATATTCCTACCAAACATTCATACTAGAAACTGGAGAGGGAATCAAAGTCAAAGGTAATTGGTTAATAGAGTTTTCGCATTCTTTTGAAAATGTTGCATGTTTGGCATTTAGCAGATCTTGATACATTGAGAATGTGTCTGCTTATAGTTTACAACCTTTCCTTTTTTGCTCCTACTTAATACTAGTATTCTTGAAAAGATATACTGTACTGTACTTAATATTTCAGCTGTGCAGTGTGCTAAACAGTCATTTTTGTGGAGGTGGGAGGACTTGCTAAGCAGCTATGTAGAAATGTAGAACGCAGTTTCTCTAGCTCCCCTTATCCCTTGTTCTACTGTAATACTGTTCTACTGTAAAACAAATTGTAATTAAAAAAAACCCTCACACATTTGCATACTTTTAGACCTTTCCTGTGGTCTCAGTGTACAGAAAACCCAGTGACAAACACTTCTGCAATAGCTGTAATAATAGTTTTGTTGCTTTTTTTAAACCATTGGACATTTGCAGCATGCTATCCAATGAACAATGGAACAAAACAAACATTTTAAATGTAGCCAAAGATCCCACTGTCAGAGGTACCCAAGTAAAATGTAACTTTAAAAATGTGCATATATAAAAAGAGCTGGTAGCTTCAGCCCCATCTGCCGTGATGCTATCATTCCAACCCATTGTTGTGTTCAGCAGCATAGCGAAGGCCACCTTAATATATGGAGAATTCAGAAAGCGGGAGGAAGATTACCCTCTTGCAGTCTACAACTATTACTCAAAACCAAATGATTTTTTTGCAATTGAGTTCAGTTGGAAAGAGAATTTGCTCGTTGCTATTCAATAAATTAGCACACATACTTCTCAATATTTTTTCCCCAGAAGTGAGAATCTGCAGCTTTTTTTGGAATAAGCTAGAAAGTTGGTTTGGGAGCTCTGTAGCTCCACCCCACCTTTATTTTTACTACTATGGAGTAAAAAAATAGCCTTGCCATCAAGAAGCTTTGGTTTCATACTTCGCAGTTAGTTGAACATATTAAGCTGCCTTCATATTGAGTGAGATGATTGGGTCCACCATGCCCTGTATAGTCTACTCTGATGAGCTGTGGCTCCCTGAGGTCGGCAGCAGAAGTCTTTCCCAATACTGCTGCCTGAGACCCTTATTTAAATCTGGAGATGATGCAAATGGAGGCTGAAATCCACCTGCCTGCTGATTTCACTACTTAAGGTGCCCTAGGCATCCTGGGCCTTGAGTCTTTGTCATCCTGATCTCTGGTGTTCTCAATAATGCAGCAACCCTTTGCTCGACCAAAGTGTCACCTGTCTAGGTGAGTTGTGCCATCTTCTATCTGAAGTGACAGCCATCTTTGAGTACCAGCATCTTAACTGACTTCTTTTTCATCATCTCTGTTAGAGAAATAACGTTTTTGACAAGATGTTGGGTTTTCTTTCTCCCTCCCCTCACTCCCCACTCTTTTCTTTCCTGCAACCTCTTAGAGCACTTGATCAAACATATATATTTCTGAAAGACTTTGCTTCCAAATGAAAGCAGCTTGAGAAAAGATGGAAACAGAAAGGAAGTTAAATGTTGATGGTGGAAGTTAATGAATCAGGTAAAAGAGAGGACATGGTGTTAAAGAGCATGCTCTTAACAACTTTTCTTCTTCTCCACATAAAGAATGTATGGCAGTCAGTTGTGATTCTGACATCTGTTCTACCATGTAATAGTAATTTGTATAAGTAATGGAAACAGGTTAAATATTTCCATCCTAATGTTGCCAGCAGGGATAAAAACAAACATTTCAATGAAATATTCTTGACAGAGGAAGGTATCGGATGGACAGATTCATCTGCAGCTCTCCTTGACAATCCAAATACGTAAGGAAAATGGTTGTAGATGGATTGCCTAGAAGAGAAGGTGATGGAAGGGGAAGAGATGGGAAGCTTTCAGATGCCTTTTGCTTTAAGGGCTAGCATTCAGCCCAGTATGCAGAAGAACTACTGATAGTCTTGAAGACCCTTCAGGTCTCTTACAGAGCTTCACATCGAAACAGAAACAACACATGCATTTTGCCTCCTTTTCTTACTTCTGTAAAAGTGGTGATTTTTTTATTTTATTTTTAACTGCCTCTTACACTTCACTTGTGATCACCTTTTCGTTCTTCAGTAATTTTATATGCATGTGTGAAAGAGATTCAGGAAACAGAGGTAGGGGGGAGTATATTAGTACAGAGAGTGAGTCTGGTTATTTTACAGTTCTGATTATCTTCTGATAGAAAAGTGGGGTACAAATGTCAGAAACAAATCATAAATATATAATACATGCATGTAAACATAATGCAACATACTCATATTATAATCCCTAGAATGATTCATGCTCAATTTTTGTGTACACTAAATATTTAACAGTTACCATTTTATTTACTTTCTGCTTCATACTTTTCATTGTTGGGAATTTCTAACTGGATATTATTCTGGAAACTGCTTTGAAGTATTCTCTTCCTGAATCCACAAAATTTATCAGTTCATAGTTTGAGGTAGACCATGAAGCACAAAGCACTTGAAGTTGAAAAAAATTGGGCTTAAGCCAGTTTATTAACCTCAAGGTCACTGTAGTTGAGCTAACTAAAATGCAAATCTGCTTTAAAGTTTGTTTTAGATTCTGCATGAATGGCTTTTCCTGTTTTACAAAAATATATAGATATGCATAAGCATGCTGATACGTATTATTATTTAAGCATGTTCTTAACTTGCTTGGCATGTGTAGAGTAAGAAAAGGATCAGTTACAACTGAAGGATTTTACACATTTCCTATATGTAGAAACACTCTCCCATGAACTTCTTCACAAGGCATATTAAAATGAATGAGACTAGAGGGACATGCGGGACACATGACATACTGTGTCTGTTTTCAGTTTCCAACCAGAATTAAGGGAACTACCCTATGCACAAGAAGCTGGCTTAAAGCATGCTAATGTAAAGTTATACCAGATTCAAACCCTGTTTAGCTGCAGGACTGCTCCTGTGCCCAAGTCTGGCAGAGGGAAAGTGAGCCTTTAGAATAGTGTTCTATACTGGCTTGCCAAGTAATGTGACTGAGCTGAACGGGCTTAAACCCTAACCTCTGTGGTCTCCCTCCCACTATGCCCTGCCCCAGTGCTCTAGCTTTCACTGAGCTGGTTGTGCTGGGATGAGAAGTTACACTGGAGTACCTTCAGCAGAGCTAGGGTTGGAGACTTAATGCCGGCCGAGCCAGAGATCCTAAGTTGCACAATCCCAGCAGACCCTGCCATAGGATTGCACCCTAAATTTCTCATTTTAATATGTTACATTGAAAACTACAGTGCTTAGCTTGTTTGTGACCAGGGTTGTTGTGATTATGAAACAGAAGTACACACAAACAAACATATGCTCAGTTACAATATTGAAATTAAGTTTTAAACATTTTGCCCTCAACAAATAATTATTTGGCACCACTGAAATTGCATGAAGTTTAATTGAGTAATAATTAAAAACAGTGTGGAATCAATTTCTTGTTGAACTCAATGGCACTAATTCTTACAGATTTTAGCAGTTGTGGCTGCTACAATGGTAATCTTTTGCCCCCTTTAAAATAACGATTGTGGGGAATGTGTGTTTTGTATAGCAGAATAGAATAAATGTATGCAGAAAATAATAGAATAATTTAAACGGAACTGTGACTAAGAAACAGTATCACTGTATTCAATAAATAATATTATACAATTGCCCACCCCCACAATACATTATCATTATCCTATCCAATTTGCTTTTGGCTTCTCAGACATGGTCTGGGTTATTTACAGTGTACACCTTCTCACTGAAGCAAACACAATGTGCTATACCACTAACACATACAATATATAGCACCTTGTGTCGACTTACATTAGAATACACAAATTTTAATGCTGTACAAAGATGACAGCATATCTATGGGGAGACATTGGCATCCAGAAGGCATATCATATGGGCACAGATTTTTAACAAGATGTAATAATAGAAAACAGGAAAACAGATACTCTCGGTCTTCCTATAGCTGTAATTTGTAGGATTTCCCTCCTGCAAAATTACAGAGAGAGACAGAAAATGAGACAAGAGAGGCTTGCTTGCATTGTACACTATAATATAGGTTGTTGCAAGTATATTTTTAGGCATCTAGAAATCAGAATAGAGTGCTTGGTTTAAATATTTCTCTGTGATTATAGGCCACAAATGTAACCCTGCATCACACTTTTAAAATACCTGTGCTGACACAGGAGCCAAAGGAAGAAATTCAGTGGGAAATGTTTTATCACAGCATTAAATAATTAGCTGACCTCCCTGACAGTTTCATATAGTAGCAATTAAATGCAAGCCTTTCTCTTTTCTTGATGTAGAATATTGCAGCATTTGACTGCAAACAATTGCAGGACAAAATTTCAAAGCTTTTAATTTGAATAAACAGCTTTTAAAAAACATCACTGTCTATTTCCCGGTGTATTCTGTGTTAGTAGCAACTTTATAGGCGTAAAAAAAAGAAGAAGAAGACGTTGACCTTGTGAAATAGTGTATATTATTTGTGTTAACATTTTCACTATAAACATTATTTCTGAATCCTAAGTATTTATCCTACAACAACAGGAATATTTCAATGAACTGTCCCCCCCAAGGCAATTCTATAATTTAAACCATGATGAATTATAATATTAACAAATGCACATCTGTGTATGTGTATAGTGTAGCATAGCTGTGTAAATTCAGTTGACGTAAGGAATATTTTTTAAACGTTGAAAATCAACGCAGTAAGTGTGTTCTGAATTGCTTTGTGCTCCCCTGTATAGCACTCTCATATTGTGAGCATTGAAGCAAGCTAATTTTGTCCAATAATAGTAGACAATATAAAAACGTTTTGTAATTATTATTATTGTGTGATATAAGCAGCAGTTTACAATAAGATTTTATAGAACAAGCAAAGTAACATGAATAAAAATATATAATGTTCTCTCATTTTATAGGCACTGCAAACCAAAGTAAGTAAAAAGCAGAATTTCAAGCTCAATGCTTGTCTTTCCCACTTGTGGGTGGACAGCAAACTTTTTATGGAGATTTCTTTTCCCCTTCGTTTGCGGCTAGGTTACGTTGTATAAATAACAGAAGAAAATCTTTACACCCAGCAAAAATGCATGACTTGCAACCGATAGTACAGTTCACAACCACAAAAAATTAGTAAGCAAAAATTTATGTTACGGAGTAATTATTAACCAGATATGTAAAGCCTGTGTTGGAGCAGTGTTTGGTGTTGATTCCAATAAGGGTTATAGGATATGTAAATAACTATAGACAAAATAATGACCAGCATATAAATTATGTGAATTTTTTCTCAAGAGACTTCTAGTGAGCTTTAACTTTGCAATATGTATTACTGAAATATCACAAGATTATATTATTGCGTAGCAGTTTGTAATGCAAATGGTGCAATTCTATGCATGCTTACTCAGAAGTAAGTCTTGCTGTCTTCAGTGCGTGTGTTTAGGTTTGCAGCCATATTTATTTTAGGTAGCAGTTGCAACTTTTCTGTTATTTAAATCCAGTAACAAGGTCTTGATACAGTATGCTTAGCTGTGTATGTTGTTGCAAAGTTAGGAACGTGTGCATTTCCCCGTACTGTGTGAAATTTAGAACATTTTAAAAATCACAAGCCATTTTTGCAGCACAAATGTTAAAAACAATGCATTTCTAAACCCTTTAAAAATAAAATTCAGCATTACTATGCTAGTCCACGGAAAAGCACACATGGGCTGATGCAAAGCCTCATATGTACCCAAATGCACAAAGCTTCTGTGTGTGTATATGGAGCCCTATTTACTTTAATAGAGAGGTCAGCCTTGAGGATAAGGGAACCTTGTGTGCATCATACCTCCTAAATAGCTCACTTAGGGTGACTGTGATCCTGATTCCATGTTCTTCTGTGTAGACGTTGTAGTACACAGGGTGTAAGAGGACGGAGTGTAAACATACCTTATGTCTCTTTGCAAAAGCACTGGCAGATGGACCTCTGTGTTAAAGCAGCATCGGTTTGTACAATGATATTTTAGGGATAAGAAAGTGTTTCTTCTGTTGGACTGATTTTGGTGCAACCTTTAAATGGCTAGTAACTGTAGCAAGCTGATTTCCTATTGTCTTCCGAAGCAAACGTGGTGTGCCACTGCTGGACTAAAATGCCATGATGGCTTTTGCTGTAAGTCTCAACAACTATGAAAGGGGATAATGCAGAGCAAGGTAAATGGCAGGATAAACTTACTCATGTGTCTACCTTTAAGTAAAATATTGTAATACTGAATTTATGGGCTTTTATCCATAGGTGTGTGTGTGTGAGAGAGAGAGGGGGAAAGAGAATCTTTGTGTACACACACACACACACAGACCATTAAGAGTAACAAATGGCAATATCAATCTAGGCTTATATCCCACCTAGAAAGATAACCCCTGGCTTTTTCTTGCACTTTCCTGCAGAAAAGACTTGGGCTAAGTTTTGTTTATTTTCCTGGATCTCCTTAGCCCTGATAAGATTCAGTATTATTCTCTTCAAATGTCTTTTTCAGTTATTAGCAGTGGTTTACTAGAAACCACATTCTTTTAAAATGGTCCCTTTTAGTAAAATAAAATGAGGTCTGGTGGGAGGAGAGGAAGGTCTAATGGATCTTAGTAGCAGAGAAAAGTACTGGACTGTGCTGGTAGGTGAAAGGGAATAAGCAGGCCTCCTTTTTTTGGCACACAGATTTTCGAAATGTTGAATGCTGTTGAATTATGAGACCTAGGGGAATATCTTGCATCTTAGCATATGTTTCTAAGATATATTTTTTTAAAAGAAGATTCCTTATGGGGGAAAACCCAATGCTTTTAAAAATAAGAAATCCGCAAAGTAAGCAATTAGAATTATCTCGTGGGGAAAAGCCCACCCAGCATTAGTCAGGAATTTTTTTCCACCCCACCTTTCACTATATCCCGTTTTGCTGCTTTCTCTTTTCCTGAATTGCTCCTGATCATCCCAATTTAGCTAAGGACGATCTGCTTATGGAAAAGAAAGCTTCCCATGTGGTTCTTTAGCTGGATGGGAACTGTGTGGGCAAATAGGTGCTACATACTTGAGATCCATTTCTCATCCAGCAGCTGGGGCCGTGCACTAAAGATTAGAATTAGAATTGGGGGAGCAAGAGACGCTATTCAATTGCTTCTACGCCCCTTTTCCTCAGGATGTTGAAAGAGCTGTAAATGTGGAGCTCCAGGTGCTCCTTGGGTTCTCGGTTGGATCAGAGCCACTGCACGCACAACATGCCTAATACATAAATACATTTTGTGTGCAAACATTCATTTCAAATATTTTTCCATGTTCTGTGAACAATACGTATAAGAAAAACATTTCCTGTATCCTTAAGCTCATTGACACACACACATATACACACTCACCTATTAGTACGTATGACATGGTTTTTCTAGCAAAGTATGGTTTCTAGTAGAGTGGAGCTGACATGGCGTACAAATTATTTCTACTACAGTGCAAAAATCTATGTTTATCACTTAGGGTGCATGCCTGCCACTTCTGTGAATTGGGCCCTTAGAATAGATGTATTTTGATCTAATGGCCATCTGCTCATGAATATCACATTTGCTAGTTTAAAAAATAGTTTGATTCCGATAAACACGTAATTTGGTAAGATTATATCGTTTCACCAGGTGGCATCACAATAGCAAAGTTTGATGTTTACTGTAAGCCAATAATCAAGCTGGATATTCCGTTGCATGCTTTATATTTGTCAGCTTTAAGTATTCATCTCTCATTTTACTTTAGTTTTCGCTGCCAACTGCTCTTGCCAGAATTGTTGTGTGATATCTGTGTCATAGTTTAACACAGAGATGGAGAACCTGTGGCATTCCAGGTGTTGTTGGACTCCAACTCCCATCATCCCTAGGCAGCATGGCCAGTGGTCAAGGATGATGGGACTTGGAGCCCAACAACACATGGAAAGCCACAGGTTTCCCATACCTGATTTAGCAAAAGGCTAAAGTGCTGCAGACCATTAGTATGAGCCAAAAATCTGTAGCAAGGTGTCACCTTTGGTTTCACCAGCTCTTTATAATTTAAATGCACCTTGGGGCTTATACTCCAGGTGTAGAAAATGGTATGTAATATTCAAAGTCAACACTGCAGGATTACCCTGAGGAACTTGTCACAGTAAGTCAATAATGACGTCCCTTCAATATCTATCCCTTTTTTGTTATTGTTTAATTCGACAATGCATTTCAGTTGCTTTCAGCAACTGAAGACACACAGCATTTTATCTGTGGGAAACTGACCCACTAAGTTTACCAAGAACTAAATCCATTAAAATTTCAAGGATCTGGATACCCAGAGAAGTTGTAATATCCACCTACATCCTCTGTGCCTATGTTAAGAATATAATGTCTGATCCTTTTTCCCCCCCTGTTCAGCTATATTGCAGTTAAACTTACCCTGGTGAGTAGCCACACTGTTTAAACTAGCTTGGTGCTTTTCAAGGAAACTCCATTAAGAAGAATCCATGTAAAAACTGTTTGGCACGTGCACATGTTATCGTAGTAGTTTGGGCATCACAGTAAGCCATGATTTATCACGACAGGAATGATCGACAGGCTTTTGAAAGGAGGAAATTGGAAGCTTTCGCTTTTGATTAACTTCAGTCAAGCATTGCATGTGAACCCTAAACTGTGGTTGATACTAACTTTGGTTTTCCGGAAAAAAGCAGTTTCCTAACTCATTTGAAATAAACAAATTTCAAACAATGAGTCATAGCTAAAATTAATATAGCCGTAGTTTCTCAGGTTTGGGCCCTTTCGGTAAAAGACATGTCTGGTCACAAAAAGGAAGCAAAATCTTCCAATCGCCTCCTTGCAACACTGCTGGAGAAAGAGGGGAGAGAAGGGAGCATTTGAGCCCGAAGTTGGCTGTGGCCCATCGCTGTCAAGATTAACCCTTGTTTTTTATATTGTCCAAAAACAGTCATCAGCAGGCTTAAGGAGCAATCCTGTAGGAGGATCTGCTGGGATGAGTGGGTTAGGATCCAGCAGATCTCTGGCTCAGCCAGGAAGGTCCTCATGCAGCCAGATTATGCTGGCCTAACTTCCTCACCTTCATGTTAGCCAGAAATAAACCAGCATATGTCCCCCATACCAGCTCAGGCAGGACTCGGCTGACTGAGTCAAGCCTGGCAGATCTTAAACTGGAGTAAGCCCTGAAAAGGGGGCATGGTGGGGGTGGGACTGGACGGGGTGGGGTGGGGTGGGGGCACTTAGGCTGGATCCAAAACCCATTCAGGTTGGTCACATGACCTGGCAACCTGATATAAATTAAGCTGGCAAAAAGGGTAGTGTACCTCAAGACACCAGCTTCTTGTGTATAGAATTGCTCCCTTAATTTTCCGATAATTTTCCAGGTGCTCTAGCTTTTTCCTACTGAAATTTCTTTGATCTGTTAAGGTTTAAAACTTTTTCATTTCCCCCCTCCCTTTTATTCTAAATATTTTAAGTCTATAGAAAAGAGCCTTCAGTAGCAAAGCACTGCCATAGGGTGCAAGACTAACCCTAGATCTGCCAGAATGCGCAAGTTAGGATTCGTCACAGTGCCTTCATTCTGGCTCAACTGTAGCTAAGCCAAGATTTGTGGAACATATGCCCTGAAAAAATGAGTGTTCCAAGGGAGAGGGGCAGGACTAAGCACACACTGGATCATCCTGGTCACATAACCTGGTAATCTGGCGTAACATATGTTGGCAAAAAGGGTGCTGTAAATCAAATTCTGTTTATAAGGCATGTTTTCCCTCTGCCAGGCTTAGATTGACTCAGTTGGCAGTAGCCCACTCTTGAATGGTGTTTTGATCTAGCAGACTTCACACTGGTTCAACTATATTATATTATATTATATTATATTATATTAATTATATTGGCTCCCCATACTTGGGATTGTTCCTTTTGTATTTCTCTTTTTTGACAGCTGTTTCAACATTTTAAAAAATGAGCTATTCTTTAATTTTGCACTATGAATGATGTCACTGGGTTGGTGGGGGTATGTTTAATGCTATTTATATCCGACCATGCATCATTTCAGATGCATAAATCTTAATGCTTCTTAAATTAATGTTGTGATAACAGCAACGCTAATAAAAAGAATCCCCTGTCGATTTGTACCATCGTTTACATTTCAGCCTTTCAGTAATGGGTAGAGGAAAGCAGATTTGCCCAGTGACTAATTGTTCTTACCTTACTTTCAAATCCAAGTGTATATTCTAGCTCAGTTGCCATTATTGCCAAGGTGCTCTATTGGACTATCCATCTTGGAACTCTGATACGCAAGTTCAAATTTATCTTCAACCATAGATTGCTCTAAGGCTGCTTATACAAACTTAACAGGAAGTAACTCCTATAAAGCTCAGTGGGACTATTGGAATAAATGTGATTATCATGTTAATGTCTCTGAGCCATCTGTAAAATAACAATAGTAGAGGTACCATTGTGTGCTTTACATGTAAGAACCCAATGTTTTGGGATGCTTCGAAGTTGGGAATCCAGGAGAGAAAGTGGCAATGAGAGATGATTGGCTGGGAAGAAGGGAAGAAAAGGTTTGTCAAGAGCAATGGGATGCTGAGACTTGCTTCATGGGTGGGAAAGGAAAGGCGGAACTGGAAGAAGATGGATCAGGTTCTAAGCCAATTAGGAAAATTCTGGAACAAAGATCTTTGAAATGAGTGGTACTGGGACTTCTTGATCATCTGTGTGACTTGAGATCAAGGCACTGGATGTATAGGGGTATTTTCTAAAATAGAAAGGGAGATATAGAAGGAAGATAAAAGTTTCACAGGATTGCTTTTGTGAAGTAAGGTGATGACTCTTTGTGTATGAAAGATTCCCAGCTTCTGGAGCCCAAAGCTTCAGCTTTTGTGCTCAAGTTGGGGTTTAATGATTAAAATAAAACAAAGTCTAAAATCTTGTCTGGCTGAGTAAGAATGGGTGTGACACATTCTGAAGTGGTGATAGCCTGGAAGTAAACTTGCGGACGATCTTGTTTCTTCCCAGCTTAGCAAAACAAACAAAAGGTTAGAAATAAACATGCAACTGAAGACATTAGCTGCCAGCCAGGTCTTCACAGCAGAACCTTGGGGTTATGATTTGCCAATTTAATAAGCAATATCCAGGGATGGCCCAGGAGGTCAGGGTTGGAGACAACAGGTATATCAGAGGGTTGATGATTTTGTGCCAAATAAGAGAGCATTTCATAGAAGGTGCTACCCCTGGCCCTTGGAAATGAAAGAGGCTTCTCCTGTGTCTTCCATTTCTAAACTTAGCCTTCCTCTATCAAAATTAATCAAAATTAGGGCTATTTCATAACACCACTCACAAGGTTGTTTGGAAGGAAAAATATATAAACATTTCAAATCATTGTTCGCATTAATGGACTAATATAAGTAACAGTAAAGGGACGCGGGTGGCGCTGTGGGTAAAACCTCAGTGCCTAGGACTTGCCGATCGTATGGTCGGCGGTTCGAATCCCCGCGGCGGGGTGAGCTCCTGTCTTTCGGTCCCAGCTGCTGCCCACCTAGCAGTTCGAAAGCACCCCTAAGTGCAAGTAGATAAATAGGTACCGCTTTCTAGCGGGAAGGTAAACGGCGTTTCCGTGTGCTGCGCTCTTGCTGGCTCGCCAGAGCAGCTTTGTCACGCTGGCCACGTGACCCGGAAGTGTCTCCGGACAGCGCTGGCCCCCGGCCTCTTAAGTGAGATGGGCGCACAACCCTAGAGTCAGACACGACTGGCCCGTACGGGCAGGGGTACCTTTACCTTTTTTATAAGTAACAGTAGTACATGCTTCTTAATAATAATTCATAATTGATGATAAATTTGTTTTACATCTGCCCTTCTTCATTACCATATAACTTTATAAATGCTTATTTGCTCATGTTGAGTGCTTCAAGTAGTATGTAGTGTTGAGTGCTGGACTTGGATGATGGAGATTTGAGTTTAAATTCCTACTTACCTTTGAAACTCACCAGATGACCTTAGTTGTTGTACAAATAAAATGAGACTTAGAAATGTAATAAATGAATAAATAAAAAAATAAACACAACCTTTTACCTAATTTATTCCAGAAAATCCCAATTAGTTGCAGTGGCAAAATAAGTGTTGCAAATCAGAAAAAGTGGCTGAAGAATGAATTCTTAGCTTTATTCATACCAGGTTATTCTGTTAGTTAAACATAAATCCTGCTGAAATGTCATGGTATATTTTTAATTGCAACTGAAAATGCCGAATGCCATGCTTAAATTGACAGGATGTGTATCTTCATAAAGCTGAGAAATAGGGATATGTGATCTAAAATGTAAGCCTCAGTCTCACTGTAGTAGAAACAGTGGTGGGAATGAAACGAAATGTGTACGTTCTGTAATGAATTTTTATTTTCTTATGTATTTTTCTAGCTTATGTTCCTGAGGAAGAACTGAAAGCAGCAGAGATTGATGAAGACAGCGTGGAGGATGACGGACTACCTCTGGACATCCAGGAAACTGACTACATGTGCAATGATGAAACGGAGATCAAAGAGGCTCAAAGTTACCAGAACTCTCCAGTCAGCACAGCAACGAATCAGGACGCAGGTTATGGGTCGCCATTCAGCGAAAACAGTGACCAGCTGGCTCATTTCAAAAGCACTTCCTCCAAAGAAGAGAGAGAAGATCACCAATGCTTGGACAATGCTTCCTATCCACAGGACAGCTTGGCACAAATAAAAGCTGTCTATGCAAATTTACTATCGGAGTCTTGCTGGTCTAGTTTAGCTTTGGATTTAAAAAAATCAAAGAGTAATGAAAACAGCCAGAAGGAAAATACCACTAATAGCAACTCTACTATCACTACCCCAAGTACCAATACTAGTACTAGTACCAGTACTAGTACCAGTACCAACACTAGTATCACTACAAGTATCAGTAGTACTAGTAACAGTAACAATAACAGTGGTGGCTCAGGTTATGACTGGCATCAAGCGGCATTAGCCAAAACTCTGCAGCAGACCTCATACGGACTTCTCCCAGAACCTAGTCTATTCAGCACAGTGCAGCTTTACCGGCAAAACAATAAACTGTATGGTTCTGTGTTCACTGGTGCCAGTAAGTTCCGGTGCAAAGACTGCAGTGCAGCATATGACACACTAGTGGAGCTAACAGTGCACATGAACGAAACTGGACATTATCGGGATGACAACCGAGATAAAGAAGCTGAAAAGACCAAACGGTGGTCAAAGCCCAGAAAGCGATCGCTTATGGAAATGGAAGGCAAAGAGGACGCCCAGAAAGTGCTCAAGTGCATGTACTGCGGCCATTCGTTTGAATCTTTGCAAGACTTGAGTGTCCACATGATAAAAACAAAGCATTACCAGAAAGTGCCTCTGAAGGAACCAGTACCAGCCATCACCAAACTGGTGCCTTCTACCAAAAAGCGAGCACTTCAAGACTTAGCTTCACCTTGCTCACCTGAGCCGACGGCCATCACATCGGAGAGCACACTTAGCGAGGCAGGGAAGGACCAGAAAACTGCCAACCCCTACGTGACTCCAAACAACCGCTATGGCTATCAAAATGGTGCTAGCTACACTTGGCAGTTTGAGGCCCGCAAAGCCCAGATCCTAAAATGCATGGAGTGCGGCAGTTCTCACGACACTTTGCAGCAGCTGACTGCTCACATGATGGTCACGGGACATTTTTTGAAAGTAACTAATTCTGCTTCCAAAAAGGGGAAACAGCTAGTATTGGATCCTGTGGTAGAAGAAAAGATCCAGTCCATACCTTTGCCTCCCACCACACACACGAGATTACCAGCTGCAAATATTAAAAAGCAGCCCGATTCTCCGGCCGAATCTACAACTTCTGAGGAGAAGAAGGACATGGAAAAGGAAAAGGTGATCGTTAGTGAAACAGACAAAAAGATTAAAGAAGAGAATGAGGACTCTGCGGAAAAATTTGAGCCAACGGCTGTGTATCAGTACCTCAGAGAGGAAGATCTAGATGAAAGCCCTAAAGGTGGGATAGATATATTAAAATCCCTGGAAAATACAGTGACAACAGCTATAAGCAAGGCTCAGAATGGAGCACCTTCGTGGGGAGGCTATCCAAGCATTCATGCAGCTTACCAGCTTCCGGGGACTGTTAAGCCCATTCAGCCAGCTGTGCAGAGTGTTCAGATGCAGCCATCGTACGCCAGCAGCGTAAAATCCTTGTCTTCGGAACACAGTGCACTGATCCATTCGCCAGGGAACCTGACGCCACCACCTCACAAAAGCAATGTCTCTGCAATGGAGGAGCTAGTGGAGAAGGTCACGGGCAAAATCAATATAAAAAAAGAAGAAAAGCCTGCAGAGAAAGAGAAATGTTCTCCAGTCAAGCCATTGTCACCTGCTGCTAAGGAGAATAAAGACTTTCCAAAATCAGAGGAAACCAAGCAGCAGCAGCAACAGCAGCAGCAGCAGCAGCAGCAAAAAAAGGGCCCTGAAACAGAAGTGCAGAAGGTCAAGAAGGACAGTCCAGCAGATCCTCATGCACTTAACGGTACCGAGCTACCTAAAGCAAAAGTCACAAACGGCTGTAATAACTTGGGCATCATCACAGACCATTCAGCTGAGCCATCATTCATCAATCCACTGAGTGCTTTACAATCCATCATGAATACCCATTTAGGCAAAGTTTCCAACCCTGTAAGTCCTTCTTTGGACCCTTTGGCTATGTTATATAAAATTAGCAACAGTATGCTGGACAAACCCATTTACTCGACGACTCCGGCCAAGCAAGCTGATGCTATCGACCGGTATTATTACGAGAACAGCGATCAGCCTATTGATTTAACGAAGTCCAAAAGCAAGCCCCTGGTTTCCAGCGTGACTGATTCGGTCTCATCTCCTCTGAGGGAAAGTGCCCTGATGGATATTTCCGACATGGTAAAGAACCTCACAGGGCGCTTGACCCCCAAGTCTTCAACACCGTCTTCCGTGTCAGAGAAATCTGACGCGGATGGGAGTAGCTTTGAGGAGACGCTGGACGAACTGTCACCAGTACACAAGAGGAAAGGTAGGCAGTCCAACTGGAACCCTCAGCATCTTCTAATCCTTCAAGCCCAGTTTGCTTCTAGCTTGAGGGAGACTCCTGAAGGCAAGTACATTATGTCGGACCTAGGCCCACAGGAGCGGGTACATATCTCTAAGTTTACTGGTCTTTCCATGACCACAATTAGCCACTGGCTGGCCAATGTGAAGTATCAATTAAGGAGGACAGGTGGAACTAAGTTTTTAAAGAATTTGGACACAGGTCACCCTGTTTTCTTTTGCAATGATTGTGCCTCTCAGTTCAGAACTGCTTCTACGTACATAAGTCACTTGGAGACACATTTAGGGTTCAGTTTGAAGGACCTGTCCAAATTGCCACTAAATCAGATTCAAGAACAGCAGAATGTTTCAAAAGTCCTCACAAATAAGACTTTAGGCTCACTTGGAATTGCTGAGGAGGACTCAGGCTCCACATTCCAGTGTAAGCTCTGTAACCGAACTTTTGCAAGCAAGCATGCAGTGAAACTGCACCTTAGTAAAACACATGGCAAGTCCCCTGAGGACCATCTGATCTATGTAACTGAGTTAGAAAAACATTAGCGTCCAGGTAAGCAGCCAGGTATGCAAGTGACCACAGGAACATTGCACTAAACTTCTTCATAGTACTGCACTAGGCCTGATCTGAGCCTCTGAAATCAGTCTTACTTTTGTTGCTGAACTGCCTATCTGGACCTTGGTTTTTCTTACATACATTTTGTAGTTATATTTATATGCTCTTTGTCTGATCTGTGCATGTTTTTTTTAAACCTTTCTTTTCTTTTTCTGTGAGTCAAAGTCTGACCTTTATTTTCAACATCTGTCCTTGATGTTAAGCTATCTTTTGTAGAATATAGTGGGAGACACTATTGAGAGACGTTAATTTAGCCGTAAAGAAAGACACAAAGAACAATAACAAAAAGACATCCTAAAATTACAAAGTTGCCATGACAATAAAGGTCACAGAACCCCGTAGTGTCAGTTTTTTTTAACCCTCTGAGGACTGTAATAGCATTGTTGTGCCTTTCCCAAAAGAAGGTTTTGTGTTTTAATTTTAAAAAAGGCATTTCATATTAACAAAACTGTGTTAAAATGTCAAAAAAAGCCCTTTTAAAAATTGCAGTCTGATTTGCAGAGAAAAGATGCATGCAGTTCTTTGACGATGATGAAAAGCTATGAAGTGCTCAAGGGGTTAGAAAACCACAGTCGTGTTTAAGAAAATAAAAATAATAAACCAAGTTGCCACTATGCCCAAATCCTCTGGATGCTGAAAATTGCCACTTGGCTGGCAAAAAAAAGTATGCAAGTTATTTTTAAAAAATGTACAAATGCTTTCCCCCCCCCTTTTCTTTTTTCCCCTGTAAGATACTGCAGTTTATAGTTATTTACAAATGTAAGCTTTGGTACAAGCTGACCTTTCTATAGTGTGCTGCATTGGTACATTTAAAACAAAACAGAAAAAAGTGGGGCAAGTGTTGGATTCAGTTCCTTGTAAATTGCCAGCATCAGCTTAGGGGGAAAAAAAAGTACATGTTACATATCGTACCATTTTAAACTGTTCAACTTCCTTTGTACCTTCTGGCTGTATGCTTTTCTCTTTTAACTTTTTATATTGTCATTTTATATTCAATTTCTGTGTATATAATGTAAAACCACACTTTTTTTGAATAAAATTTAGTTCCTGCAGCTTGAGTTAAATAGAGAAATTTTACTGGCACCTGCATCTTCCCAGATGCATGTACTCAAAGGAACTATCTGACAAAATAAATAAATAAATAAAAATAAAGCAAGCAATGCACTATGAATTATACATTTTGATGTTTTATCATTAATATTGTACAGTAAATTTTTTTTTTTGGTTCACACAATTAAATCCACTGTTTTCTCAAGTGTAAAATAAACCCACATGCAGTTCTTGATTTATGTATATTGTGATGTCGTCATTACTTTGCCTTTGAGGTCTTCATTTCAACAGTGAAGAGGTTTCAACCTGAAGTATGTTTGGAGTCGTTTGTGTATTCTAATATGCTGCGTTCTGTTGCCTATGTATTAGTGATACCTCAGAATGTTATTGCAATGGTTTACAGATGCCCATGGATGCAAACTTGTGACTTTACCGGTTAGGAATGAGTGGTGTGTCCATCCCTGAAATATAAGACCTTTTTAAACACTGCCCTGCCGCAAGCTGTATATAAACTCATAATCGGTACCCAGCTGTCTGTTGTCAGGAGGACCCACAGGTGGTTTGAGAAGCCAAAGCAGGCAGATCATATTATAACTGTTGCCACCATGTTGGACTCCATCTTAGGCTGACCAAACCAAACAGCCACTAGAACACTTTCTCCTGATGAGATGCTCATTTTATCATTATCCATGAGTACTGCAATGTGGCTGGGGAAGTGAATGAGCCATTTCTTAATAAGATACACATTTCTGGCCAACCACATTCTCATGCCTTTTTACTAAAGTGCAAATCAAAAGTGAAAGTGGGATCCCATTGGGATTCAGAGATGGGCCTTTGTTCTGGACCAAGTCTGGACCAGTTGAAGACCACTGCCATAGAGTGGCAGTGGAATTAGGGATCATGCCAATGTCAAACCCTAAGAATATGAAAGGAATGTGAAAGGAGTAAATGTATTGGGCTATAAGAATATGAAAAAGTGACTCACCTTCATTGCAGGTTTTTAAGCAGAGGTTGAATGGCCATCTGCCAGGGATTCTTTAGCTGTGATTCTTGCATTGTCTGTCAGAGATGCATTCACCAGCTCTGAAGTCCAAATGTTGAGCTCAGATTTTAATACCTGGGAAGGGTCAGGATGCATGGAGCAAATGGTGGAGCTCAAAACTCCAGGAAGCTTGTCCACATCCTCAGGCTACACAAATGGAACCGTGTCTAATAAATCATGACAACATGGTGTCCTGGCCACACCCGTCTCTTGATTCTGCCAAAACCACATCATCCAAATTGGTATGAATGCGAGTGGTTTTTCTCTGCAAAATTAATCTAAATTGGTCACAGCAACCTTTTGAGTCCTCTGACCTCTTATCACCTGTTCTCCCAAGCCTTGCTACCCAGAAAAGCTCCACTGGCCGACATTGTGTAGAAGCAATTGTGGAAAAGTAAGATTTCTTTGCTACCATCTCCGCTGCAGAGTAAGTCCTAAATCTGTTTCTTACCCATGTCCGTGAAAAGGTTTAACTTTGTCAGATAAAGATCTGCTCATGACAATGGAGAATGTCATTGGCTCCCCCAGTCACAGATCAATATAGTCCTAAACCAGAACATGAAATAAGATCTAAAGTGTGTCCTGTCACATGTGTTGGACTGTATGTCATTTGACACATATCCATGGTTGTTATAGCAGCCATAAAATCCCAAGCCAAGCCATTTATGTTACAGGCTCCGAAAGACCATATGTTTTGGGGTCCTCAACACCACTGCTGGCCCAGACAGGCAGCAGTATAGATAATGCAATAACAGAAACTCAATCCTGTCTTGAGTCCCCAGGAACAGCTACAGACCCCTTACAAGTGGCTGATCAGGTGTCTTGCCAGGAAGATGGAATCTGTAAAGACCCATCTTTACAGATACTGCACCCATCCCCACCCCTCAAATTGCTTGGTATTGTGTGTCTGATACCTGGTGGATACACAGGGGAGATATTTACATCTCACTCTTCATTCCATGAAGTCTTAATGCTAGAAACACAGTCGGCATACTCATCCTAGATCAGATCAAGGATTGTTAACACCTTTCCCTTACACAACATGGTGCTTGCAAGCAGCACTTTCAGACCCAAGGGAGCTGTAGTTAAGCCAGCAGATTTCCTAAGGTTGAGCAACAGTGGAGATGGCACAAAGATGTCTGACTTGCCTCCCGTCCATTTGTCACCTCGGCCTCTCACTGCCATAGCAACTTCTGTCCTTCGTGGTGGTCTTTCCTGACTCCCTGTTCATTTCTCACCCTTAAACTCCATTATCTTAACATCCCTTAACACGAAAACATGCCTAATACTGCTGGTGAAACACACCCATATTATTAACAATAATTAACAATAACAGGAGCAAAATGAGAGGTAACTCCCAATCTACTTATTTCAATGATTCTTCAGTAGCTGAAAGCCCTTTAGTGGTTGAAAGCCCTTACACCATACTTCAATGCTTGTTCATGCAATGCATTTGAAAAAATGATGCATAACATTTCCTAAAGGTAAATTAACAGCAGAATTTCACTAGAGTAAAGTAGGCCCCAAGCTTTGTACACTTTTCTTGCAGAGTAGGGATGCATAGCTTGGCATAGTGTAGAATTATTTAATATCTGCAAAGATTAAAAAACAACAACCCTAAACTCTGTCCCTGATTGTTCTGGCTGTGTGTTTTGTAAGTAATTCTGTTAGATAAAAAATATTTTCTAGAGCCTATCCTGTAAGTAGGTTTCCACACAAATGTAAGATTTTGCTTGTGGATCCATTTTTGAACATTCACACAAACCATTCTGGTGCATTGTTTCTGCATATAAATTTTCATGAGATGACTTCACACATTATCCCATGAATGCCAAATGTTTTTTTCTGGGAGAGGCACAAAAAGTTAGAGAGCTGTGTAAGGCTTCTGAATTTACACGTGCCCCTATTTGTGCTTTGAAAACACAGGTAGCAAAGCACCCCCCAAACAGCCACTGGAAATCCTAATGCCTTTTCTGTTATAGAAATCAGCAGTGGGACCACAGTACAGGAGCAGGTGGTTTAAACCACGAACCTGTGGCCCTCTAGATATTGCTGGTCTATAACTTCCATCATCCCTGATCATTGGCCATGCTGGCTGGGGCTGGTGGGAATTTGTCTTGTTGAAAATTCCACTCCCAGGTGACTGTTTGCCTCAACTAGGAAAAGTTGCATGCATATCGGGGCAAAGGGCACCTTTTGGTAGGACAAATTTAAGCAGGAAAGGGTTAAGCTCACCTGTGTCACAATCCGAATTTAGAAGCCAAGGTTTGCCCTTGGCTTTAGATTGTGGTTAAGGAGGAAAGGGCTTGATCATAATAATATTATAGTAATAATTTATTTATACCCGGCCCAACTGGCTGGGTTTCCCCAGCCATTCTGGGCTGCTTCCAACAAAATATTAAAATACAATAGTCCGTCAAACATTAAAAGCTTCCCTAAACAGGGCTGCCTTCAGATGTCTTCTAAAAGTCTGGTAGTTGTTTTTCTCTTTGACATCTGGTGGGAGGGCGTTCCACAGGGCGGGTGCCACTACCGAGAAGGCCCTCTGCCTGGTTCCCTGTAACTTGGCTTCTTGCAGCGAGGGAACCGCCAGAAGGCCCTCAACGCTGGACCTCAGTGTCCGGGCAGAACGATGGGGGTGGAGACGCTTCTTCAGGTATACTGCTATGATCATGGCTTAGATGTTGTGCTTCACTAAAAAGACTGGGGAGAAAAAGTAGTTGTGAGTGCATTCCAAGCTTTGTGCTGTCCCAGGAAACCATGGTTTGGCTTACATGCAGATGGTTCTTACCTCTTGTTAGCGGCAAGAAGGAAATAATATAATGCACAAGCCCACAAAACAGCTGGTACTTTTTCATATTCTTATAGTCCTCTGAGGCTTTGACATTAGTTCTTACTTAGAATACAAGAAGACAGACCTGTACTTTTTAAATATTGCATTTTGAAGTAAAGCTGAGTGCTATCACATCAGGTGTTTCCCTTAATCTTTATTTCTGTTCTATTCAATGCAGATGTCACTTAGAATGTAAAAGTGAGCTGTTAGGGCCTTCAGTGCTCCATGCTATGAGTGCTGTGACAATTAATGCATGTGAAAGCCAGGCATCCACTATCCATTACATATTTTGAATGGGTATTCTGTAGGAGCACCTCTGAGAGGTTTGCTTTTCAGGTATTGCTGTCGTGACTTGGATGGATGGAGACAACCCGATTTTAAATGGATCAGCTGTCTTTTTTCTTTATAAATAGATCAGTTAGTAAATGAAAATATATGTTGCTGTAAATCAGGAATGGTGCTATTTTGGGCCTGGTTAGTGCTGAAAAAGCTTTCTCGCCAAGTATCTCCTGCTTGTTCAAAGATGTGCACCAGCAAATGTGTCTGTAGATGTTAATGAAATGCAGAGTTTCTGAAACCGTGGTAGACAAATATGGATACAGGTGTGACCATGTTTAGGAACAGCATGTAATTATAATGACCAGATTTTAATTGTTTGGGAAATCATCTTGCCAGAATCAAAAGATGAGCACAGATACTTTGGACTTTTACCAATATGTAACAGAGCATTTTTTTTTTTACCCTACAGTTCTGTATATAAGATCTTTCTGGCCATTAACAACTTCCATTTGGAGTAGAACCAACACCTTTATGGAATTGCTCACAAATAAATGGATTGTGGCCTGCAACCCATACTTAACTGCTTAATGGCAAAACTGATTTCGCTGGTGAATGCTTGCAGCCTTAATATGCCTGTATATTTCTTTTGTAACTTGCAATTACAAAATTGTAATGTGTCCTAAGGAGTTGTTTAGGAACAGCTAATGTGGTGCCCTCTAGATATTGCTGGAGTACAACACTCATCATTGCCAGCCAGCAGTGTCATGGATAGTGGGACTTGTAGTCCCAACAGTACCTGAGGGTGCCATGTTGCTTACTCTGTTTGGTGTTTTATCAAAATGAATGTGTGTGTGTTTAAAAACAACAACAAGAGCAACTGGAGCCAAGATCCTTCGCTTTTAAAAAGACCATGTACATTATTTAAAGTCCTATTTTCAAGCCAGCATTCTTCAGTTTTCTCTACTGATTTCACGTTAGCCAAGCCCGTGTTGTATCTGGAAAGCATATTCAGCTGGTGCCAGAACATGCCACAGAGGTCTTTTAAATTTCCTCCCCCACCTCCACTGGTAAATACCTGTGTTCTGTAGGGGATTGAGCTATTTAGGTATTTTGTTTCACTTCAATTACCGGGTGATTATGCATTTTAGGCCCAAGGGATTATGGAAGAAGAAACAAAACTTTTGAAGTTATTACGTAAAATAAGATTGTGCTTTGCTGCCATAGGCTTAATTCTTCTTCTTCTTTCCGTAATAGCCTTAGAAATCATTGTTTGTTTTGCTACAGGCCTGCAAACATGATTACGGGATATTTAGTTGTAGGTGAAGAGGTTGCCTGGGACAAATAACAGCTCTAAAGTGGGCCCTGACCTAATACAAATGGCGGGAAAGCTCCCTTGGAAATACTAGGTGTAGAGAGTGGTCTCAACGCTAGATGACCCTGCTGTCTTTGAGGCATTTCATGGCATCGCTGATGAGTTTTGTAAGATTCTGGTATTAAAATCGCTTTTTTTAAAGCAGCAAGGAAGACTGTGACTGGACAATCCTTCATCCCTGTGTTTGATCATTTGCATTAAGGCAAACATTCTGAGAATACCACATGGTGAAGTATGAAAATGGCAAGGTAGGTGAAGTATGATTTCTCCCAATACCTTGGTTGTATTTTGGTTTTATTTAGCGGCACTGCACAAAGGGCTGTGCGACAGAGTTTAGAAATTCAATATTTACCCATTGAATTGGAGATCCCCACTGAGGGAATGTCTCTGCAATGTGTGTGCTTTGTATGTGTGTATGTATATTTTTTACTCTAAAGCAATTTAGGAAAGGTGGGTATTTTATTAACATCGGCTGCCATAAGTAAGTGACCTACATAACCTTTCCAAGCCACTCATAAAGAAAGGAAACTGTAAGTGCCTCAGGGCCTGCATACATATTGTAAGCCTCTCTTTATTCTGTTAAAACATTCAACATTTATTGTGTCTCTCTCCTTTCAAGAGCAGCGCAAGCTACCTTTTGTCTTCAATGCATCTTTCAGTGTTTACATTTTGCCAACAATAGGAACAAGAAGGATCTTGGTTTGCCCCCTTTTGTGAGTCAAATAGCTTGAATTCTATGTAGTTATTTTGTTGCGGAGGATGGCATGCTTCAGAAGTGTTCACATGTCCCTCTGAAGGGTCCTAATGCTTTAGAAAAGTTGTAGTTCATTATATATATATTAATATTTACCCATGTGAGCTCGTGGACCAAAAAAGGGCTTTCCCCAGGCACTGTGCCCTGAAATACACATTTCGCTGCACAGCACAAGATTGCGTACCCCCAAAAACGCTTTTTTAAGGGCGAGACCTTGGCTCGAAATTGCTCTAGAGCAAGGTGCTCCAAATGGCCACTGTACTCTCACGGAGGGGAAACGGGATGTCCTGATTTTCCGGGGCAGTTGGTGGGTATGTATTATGTTCTACTTTTAAAAGATTATCATCCCGATACCCTTATACACACTGTTGAGTGCAGTTATGATATTGAAACCCAATAACCTATGATTTACAATTCAGAGGCCAGACTTGTGAACACATGCATCTTTCATTTTCTTCTTCTCTGAAGTGACTCCTTCCTTTCCCAGTGTTAACCATGGTTTCATGTTACATGTGCATCACTGCAAACCATGGTTCATGTGAAAAGCAGTGACTCGTCTGTGACTAAGGTACCATTTCCCATATGTGCCTGCTAAACCACTGAGGCCTTTGTTCCTGTTCAAAGTGCCCTCACACCTGAGATTAGTGAAGTGGTGACCAGGAACACCCACCCAGGCTATGGGATTTTCCACAGTGTGTTTGGTATCCACTCTTTATTCAGCATCAAGTTCCAACTGTGATTTGATCAATCATTTGAGAACAAAGGGAGGTATATAAAGTGTTTTATGTTGCCTTTTTCTGCTGTTCTATAAGACATTTTAATGTTTGATTATTGTGCTTTTGTTGTTTTAATTTTTAAGGTATTTTTGTTAGCTGCCATGCAAATCTGTGGTAATATATGTATTTGAAATAAGAATTAATATTATTTGTTACCTTTCTTTACTGTCCTTCACCTGAAGATCACAGGGGAGGTTCACAACATAAAAATACGAAATGAAAGCACAGATTGCATAATAAAACAAAACCGAAAGTAAAACAAACCACGCGAATAAAAGTCAGTAAGTGATGTCCCGTGCAAATTTACAGGTATGATTTTGTCTGCACGGAAAATTCCTCTTATGCTTCCCATTCTCTTCTCTCTCCCCACTCACATATAGACTCAGTCCACACTTGCATTATACATACACACTCATATGTATTCCCTATATGAACCTGCCTGGGTTTTTTAATCTTTGGGAGAGTCCTTCATTTGGTCCTGCCACCCTCACAGGCATGCTTGGTAGGGACATGCGAGAGGGCCTTAGTGGCGGCCGCTCCCAGAATTTGGAGCTCCTTTCCTAGAGAAGCTCCCTCCTTCTTGTCCTTCTTGTTTCAACAGGCTTTTTTTTTGGGGGGGGGAGGACTGACTGCAGTGCTGTTTTTATTGGAATTGTTTGTATTTTTACATATGTACATAATTTTCTTTCTCTCAGTGTTTAATTGATTTGCCCCCCCTCCCGAATGATATTAAAGTGTGAAGAAACTTGCTCATGACATAAACCCATAGGAAACCCCTTGTATTCCCAGTCTAAAAATCGCACAAACGCTTAGACAGCGCACATACATGCGCCCTTGCCCACATTTTTTGCTGTCATTCCTTTCCCCCGATTGTTCCGTTAAATGTAACATTTTTCTTTAAGCCCTGGTTAGACTTAGTTTGTCACTGTGAGGTTCCAATGTATAACATCTTATTTGTTGTCATGGAAGCACAGTTACAAGCTCAATGTCACAAAAGAGCCATCCTCCAACAAAACAATGAGAATTGGCAGAGCAACTCAGCAAGTCACCATCCTTCTGTAGGTTTTGAGGGAGGAAAAAACACAGCAGCCAGGCCTTTTGAAAGGGAGCAAGTGTTTAAATGTTCCAGGTGGCTTTCTTTCCTTTTAACCACTGCAGCTTTCCACTGAAGCAAAGAAATGGTGAGGCTGGAGTTCCTGTCCGGCAAAAGTGAATGCTGCTCTATCTCAAAAAGTATTGCATTTTGCATGATAATTATTATTATTATTATTATTATTATTACTATTCTCACTATTCAGTATTAACTCCGGTTGCATTAGAATGCTCCTAATCTCTGGCAAAGGACTCAGTAGGGTTCACAGAAGGGGGAGAGATTCTGTTTTGTGTTTTCAGAAGTGTAAAGGAAACATCTGTTCTACATGGTACCTGCTACTACATTTCATGGAGAGCAAAATATGGCATGCACTTTTCATCTTTTGGAACCTGGAGGGTTGCCTCTTTCCGCACATACCTACCTGTGCCTTGAAATCTTCATCTGAGACCTTCTTCAAGTGCCCCCACCAAGTGAGATTCAGTTGAAACGGCCTTTTCATTAATTGCACCCCTGCTCCCCAGAAAGCTTTGCTTGGTGCTTACACTAATGTCCTTTCAGCACCGAGCAAATTTTTTTTTTTAATTTTTTTCCAAGCCTTTACAAATCATTTTGTTAGTGTAGCTTCAAACCCCATTTTAGCCTTGCTGATTTTAGCCTTGCTAATACTATTCTAATGTTGCATTTTATATCACTGCATATTAATTGATTTTTTAAACATTATATTGTTTGTGAACTGCCCAGAGAAAGTTTTGTGATATGAGTGATGTAAATGAATAATGATGGGAAGGCAGTGCGCTCTCCTGCTCAGCCAAAAACTGCATGTGCAAGTTTTTGTGCAAGTTTCAAGCAACTGACAATACCTCTTTAGGAGACCCTGAGTTTAGACGGCAACACATGGAATGGTGATTGGGCATAAATAGGAGAGGTTGCCTATTTATTAATTGAATCATTATTTCTATTTTCTTAGGTTTTCATACACTACCTTCCGTTATCAACTTACTCGTGTTCATTAATTTCAGTGGGCCTACTCTGAGTAAAACAGAGTTCAATACCACTCATATTTAGGATTTTAAAGGATAAGGATGAGGAAAGAGCTTGCCATCATAAGGGGTGAGGAAGCATCTGTGTGTCGCACTACAGCTCCTATCATCCCTGACAATTGGCCATGCTGGCTGGGGCTGATGGGAGTTGGAATCCTCCAGCACCTGAAAGGCCACAGCTTCTCCACCTCAGCTGTTATAGAGTGAAAATTCAGGTATATTTCATTTGCCGTATGAAAAAATGAAAAGGTTTGCTGTGTTCGGCGCTGCTAGATTTAGCACCGTTAGCTTTATCATTTGCAGTGGAATCCTAGGCATGCCTACTTAGAAGTAAGCCCTGAAAAGAACTGCAGCTTAACCAGGAGGGAAAATGTGCTTTAAATTTAGGTAAAGTCAAATTAGGTAAAGCCAAATTAGCCTATAACCCTAAGCATATTTAACAGGGGTGATGGAAGAATGTTTATCTACTTGAGTGGGATTCCAGCACCATTCTATACATTTACTCCACCGTCTATCCCACAGTGTTCAGTAAGACTTTCTCCCTAGTAAGTGTATTTTAAAATTCAGCCTTAGGCTCAAGCCATGGAACTATATGCCATTCAAAATGTAAGCACTTTGTTTATTATAAAGGTAAAGGGACCCCTGACCATTAGGTCCAGTCATGGCCGACTCTGGGGTTGCGGCGCACATCTCACTTTATTGGCCAAGGGAGCTGGCATACAGCTTCCAGGTCATGTGGCCAGCATGACTAAGCCGCTTCTGGCAAACCAAAGCAGCGCACGGAAACGCCGTTTACCTTCCCGCCACAGCGGTACCTATTTATGTACTTGCACTTTGATGTGCTTTCGAACTGCTAGGTTGGCAGGAGCAGGGACCGAGCAACGGGAGCTCACCCCGTCGCAGGGATTCGAACTGCCGACCTTCTGACTGGCAAGTCCTAGACTCAGTGGTTTAACCCACAGCACCACCCATGTCCCCTGTTTATTATAGTGGTCAGCTATTAATAATCCAAGCAGAGAGAGAAATGTCCAGACTGAACAAATGTTATCCACTATTGTGACGGAAAAGAATACGCACCCAGACATTGCAGTCGCATGTATTTATTCCTGGTCAAAATATTATTATTATTTTTTGCAAATGCATACATAAAGAGTAACCCCAAAGGGTGTAAAGCTTCACCCCACATCTTTCCTATTATCTACTGGCTTCCCAAGGTGATATGTTGTGTTTGTTCCATAAGACCGTAGAATACATAAGGGTACCAAATGGAGTCGTAGGCAGTCTAGGCTTTGGAACATATCCTACATCTTAGAGGGGTAAGGTAGTGCCAGCTTTTATTGCATTCGTAACAGCCTTTGGGGAATGTGAGGCCATCAAAATAAGCATAGTCCTTTTAGGGGTTAAAGATCCTTAAGCTTTAAAGAGAATATATAAAAGAAAATTTCTTTCTGAAATAATTTATGGAAATGCCGTGCTCCCTTTGAAGGTTCCATGTCACTGCATAGCACTACGCAATGTTCTCTTTCTTCACCTGTCAGGCAAGGACCACCTCGAAGAGTCTCACTACTGATTACTAGTTAATTGTCATTAATAAGTGACAACTGACATTATGGGGGCTTAATGCAGAGAGAAGTGAAAAGAGCCACAGATATTCTAATGAGCCTGACTCCTACGTGCCCTCTATTGTTGTCGAAAATGAGGAGCTGTCGTCATTGTTCAAGAGATGGGCTTCAATTGCTCTGGAAAAAAAACCTCTTTTAATTTCTTTATGCATAGATAATTCGTGGTGTGCACTCTCTCTTTCTCTCTCCCCCTCTCTCATTTTGTCTCATATACATACACTGAGTTTTAAAACACAGACACGCACTCAAATACACTTTGCTACACCTATTTCTAGGAATACAATTATAATAACTTTTACTAATTATCAGAATCTGGTACAAAGCCAATGCACTGCTATGAAAAAACACTTGCAATATGTTTGCGTGAGTCCACATTTGTGTGTGTAGGTGGATAGATAGAATAAATGGATTTAACTCGGAACATCAGTTTTTTTTAAAATTATAATCAAGACAGAAATTAGGAGGGGGTGGGGAAACTGGACTAAGACAAGAACCAATGAACACAAATGGAAAGCCAGAACAAAAATGATTAAGGGTGGCTTAGGATTGAAAAATGTAGAAAGGTGCTCAGACGATTAAGTTAGGATAAGCTTAAGCTTATTTGTACAGAATTTATGTTGCCTGGTTTTCTTATTGTTTCATTCCAGTTACAATACTATGTGGTCTAACTCTGGGATCTTCAGGGGAAATATGCTAAATAAATAAAGACCCTCTTTCATATGTTTCCTTAATTTTCATTTAAATAGCATGAACATTGCACCTTGGCTGCAAAGAGACCATCTTGGCTGTGAAGACCTGCTCCCTGTCCCTCAGGCCTTTTTCTACCTGGGAGAGCAGGGCCATGACTGACTCCAGCTACAGAAGCTGAGGCTGCTGAACAGATTCTTCGGCTGGGGTGTTGCTTGCAGGGGGTTGTTGCTGTTGGCTTTTTGTATCTTTATTTTAAATCTTATTGTGATTTGTGCAGAAATTCTTTAGTTTTTTGTGTCTTTTTTAATGTTCTATTTATTGTTTATAACTACTTCTGTTATGTTATAGTTATGTATTTTTCCCCCAAACCACCTTGAGCATGGTTTGAACTCTGGAAAGGCAGCATACAAATAAAATTATGTATGTATGTATGCATTTATGTATGTGTGGTTGTCAAAGTTTCTGGAAGCAAGCACGTAAATTAGGTTCCCCTTGAAACCAGAGATAGCCTGATGAATTATTGGCGGTTTGGAAATGCTGTGCCTGTTATAGGAATCTATTAATGGACTCAAGTGGCAGTCAGAAATTTTAGGGATCCAATGTCAGGACTGGCTGCCACTTGTTTAATAGCCATGTTTCACTGCGTCCTGAAATCAGCCAGTACTTGTTGTAAAATCTGCATGGTAGGAAACTGATTCAGGAAGCCTGTTTGCAGGGCTGATTCCCACTGTATGAGAGTTCTGGTGCTCAGATTGCTTTGCAAAAGCTTCACGTGTGCAATCACTACAAGCTGGAGCTGTTATCGTCTAAATCAGGTGTGAGGAACCTGTGGCCTCCAGGTGTTGCTGAACCGAAACTTGCATAACCCCTGTCCATCAACCATGCTAGCTGAGGCCAATGGAAGCTGAAGTTCATCAACTTCTAGAGTGACAAATGTTCTCCATCCTTGATTTGAATGGACACACACCTGTTACACTATATGTAAGTGTAAGCCACTTGCATATGTTCCTTTAAGAAATACAGAGTGAGAAGACGTGGAGTGTAGTTTGGAACTAGTGATCAGGCAAAAAGGATGCCTGCCTGCCTGACTGCTTTCTACGAAGTCCTGAACCCCTAGGAGCAGGTTGGTTATGAGGTTTTCTTTGTAAGTTTCAAAGGAGTTGTGGAGTTCCCCAAAATTATATGTTTATAGCCTGGCTGTGTTCTTTTGTGTTATGAAGGGCTGAAAGCTTCGTTTTCCTTTATGGAGCTGTTGGCAGCCATCTTTAGAAGGCTGTTTTGGAACTGTGGTGAGTGAAGCAACAAGAACTTTTCCTCTTTGTTTCCTGCAAGTCCAAGCTGCAAAAGAACTTTTGGAACTGAAAGTGAAGTCAGTACAAGAGATTGCTTCTGCATTGTTGCCGCGGAATCTAATGGCAGGACAGTAATCTAATGTTAGATGGTTTCACTAGACATCGGCAAGTGTTGCATGCTATTCGCTTTTGCATAAGTTTGTTGTTGTGATCCCCCCCAGACACTCTGAATTAAAAACCTTGATTGAAATGCAGAGTAAATTAAGGGTTACAGAAAACCAGGCTAATCGCTGAATAATTTCAAGGATTTTTCAGAACAAAGATGGCAAAAGGATACTTGTCAAAAGAGGAGCTGGGTGTGTTTGATTTCATGTTTGTTTATTTAAAACATTGGGGTATTGTCTTTTATCAGTGATTTGAAGGTGCTTAGCAAAGCTGAAGCTTAGTGGCCGAGCAGCTGATTTGCATGTAAAAGGTCCTAAGTTCACCCCCCACCTTCCCCAAATCTCCAGGTGTAACTGGAAAAGACTCCTCTCTGAAACTCTGGAAAGCTGTTGAGACAATACTGAGCTCGATGGTCTGATTCAGTGGCCTTGTTTGCATGACACTTTATCATTGGTTGCAGCTTGTGGTGTGTTTGGAGAGAACCTAAGGACAAATGGTGGCTTAGCTCTTGGCAGCAGGAGCAAGGACCATGTGGCCATGATTGTAGCCCTTTGCACCAGTAAGTTGCTCATTCCCCTTCACAGCATGACAAGAACCTGCTGGATCAGGTCAAACCCCCCCTCTGGTCCAATGCCCTGTTCTCACCATGGCCAAGCAGGTGCCTATGGAACGCTCAGGAGCAGGACGTGGGCACAATAGCCCTCTCCTTACATGTGATTCATAGTATTCTGCTAAGGTGAATTATGGTTTAAGGGGCCATGGGAACCAAGCTAGGACAAGGCAACTTCCTATTTTCCTAGCAGCATATAGCAAGGTAGGACTGATCTGCATACGGTGGCAGAAGTTGGCATCAGGATTGGTGTGGTGCCAATCTAGTGAACTGCTGGTGTATTTTTATCATGCCAACCTCCCCTTTTCTGTCTCGCTTTGCTGCAGCGACTCGGCTGGGTGGAAGTCAGGTGAGCAATGCTGCCCCACCACTCAGTATGCAACAGCAAACAACAGAAGCGAAACAAGCAGCAGATAAAAGCATAATTAATGCTAAGTCTAAATCCCTGGTTAATCTTTCACAGTGTTTTTCATATAGATGCTATGCGTGCTTTTGTCATTGGGTTTTCCTGTAGCATATTGTCAAAGAATAGGTGTAAAAGTGATATTAGCAGATGTTTCAAGTGATGCAGAGAAAAGTTCTTTCCCCTTCAACTTATATTTACATTTTGTGGTGTTTTCACCACTCAGACAGGTCTCAAAGTGTCATTTGCATACCAATGAAACATGCACAGCCTTACTGTTTAAGTGTGCAGCGATGCTGCAATGCCGCACCCCATAGTTGCCTTTGACTGGACATAACTGTCCAGGAGTCCTTTACCTTTTGTTTTACCTTGCTAAAGTAAACTAGAAATGCCAAAACTGAGTACAGTGGTACCTTGGTTCTCAAACTTAATCCGTTCTGGGAGTCTGTTCGACTCCTGAAACCGTTCGAAAACCAAGGCGCGGCTTCCGATTGGCTGCAGGAGCTTCCTGCACTCAAGCGGAAGCCATGTCGGATGTTCGGCTTCCAAAAAACGTTTGCAAACTGGAACACTTTCTTCTGGGTTTGTGGCATTCGGGAGCTGATTTCTTTGACAAATAAGCTGTTTGAGAACCAAGGTATCACTGTATGTTAATCTGACTGATACTATCCATAACTAAACTATGAGAGAGTGCAAGAACATTGAGTAGAAGCACCATGCTTGGTTGTGGTGGGAACATGTCAAGATAAGTGGTGTTTGCACTGCATATTTCTATGTTGGAAGACCACACTGAGTGCTTTATGTCAGAAGGACTTCAGCAGAGCTAATCCCTGCTGACTTGGATTGCCCTCTATCTCTTATCTGAAAGGATTCTAAAGCACAGAGTTGTACACAACATAATAGATGCCTATGATTTACATTTAAACAAAATGGCGTCAGTATTCCTTATTCCAAGCACAGTGGCACCAAATTATTTCTCTTTTTGGAACATTCATCTGTAGAACATGATTAGATGGGTCAGCCCTTTGTCAACATAATCCACCTCCAGGGAATCGGATTGCAGAAGGGATCCCAGCATGCATTGCTTATCATAAAGTGGGCAAGTGTGAGGAAAGGGAAACCTAATGATAAACCACAACTTTGAGCTGATTCAGCTGCAACTGAGTGGGTGACTCTTGGAAATGCAGCCACACTAAAGAATTTCTACGTGGCAAGTTCTTTGTGTGATTTATTAATTAATTAGGGTGTGCGTTGGCACAGTTAACTTGCAATCTGCACGCAGAGCCACTTCTACAAGCACAGTGGGCACATATAAGTGCCTCCACTATATTACCTTTCTAGCAGGCCCAGGCAGTCCAACTTTTTCATACTAAGTGGGCCGCAAGAGTACTTTGACACAGAACTCCTGGGGGTTTGTTACGTGCACGGGGGAAGGGAAATGAGCCCAAAATTTGATGACCCCACTCAGCCCTCCTGTTGCCTTCCCAAAGCCAAAGTGCTGAGCTTTGGGAAGAAGGCATGAGCCTATGTCAGGGTCCTAGAGCCCTCCCACCCCCTTCCCAAAGCTGGGACAGCACTAACTAGGCTTTGGGAAGAAGGCTGGAGCACTTTAGAGATCCTATCAGAGCCTTCACGCCTCCTTCCCAAAGCCCAGGGCCTTGTTTACCTGACTTTGGGAAGACAGCATGAGGGCTGGGCAAGGGAATTATCAAATGTTGCTGACAGCTGCCAAAAAAGGCCTTGAGGGCCGTGTGTTGGACCACCCTGCAGTAGGCATTGGCACAGTTGCCTGAATGCATAAATCAAGTCTAGGGCTGTAAGATAAACACACTAAAGGGAAAGCCTCGTTTGAACTTGGAGGGACTTGCTTCTTCTGAGTAAGAATTGGGCCGCATGTTTCACACCTACATGGTCATAAGATAGGGTTGCCATATGTCTGGGATTTCCCAGACATATCTGAAATACTGCTGTCTGCAGCAGTGTCCGGGTGGAAATTGGTAAAACCAGGAAAATCTGGAGATACGGCAGCCCATGTTGGCAGTGCCATTTCCCCCCGATTTCCCATAAAAATAGATCAAAAACGGCAACCCTACATAAGAATATATGAAGAGTCTGCCCATCTAGTTCAGCATCCTGTTCTCACAGTGGCTACCCAGATGCCTGTGGGAAATGCACAAGAGCACTCACCCCTGCTGTGGTTCTCAGCACCTGGTCTTCAGAAGCATTACTGCCTTCAGATGTGGAGGTGGAGCATAGCTATAACTGTGTGTAGGCATGTGTTTGTGTAATCCTCTTTTGAAGCCATCCAAGTTGGTGGCATCCCATCAGTGCCTCCTGTGGGAGTGAGTTCCATAGTTTAAACTATGCGCTGCATGAAGAAGTGCTTTCTTTTATCTCTTCTGAACAAATCCTGTGGCCTCCCACTACTCTAGCTCTGAAGATGCTTCAGCTACATAAAATAACACTGCCTGCTTTCTGGTCAAGATACTGGAGTTGTTACTTGATTACTTGCAGTGAGATGGGATGGCTTGGGTGTGCAGTCACAGAACACAAAAAACAACAACCCACAGACAGTGTTTTTTCTTTCCCCTGATGTCACTTCTTGCAACAGTTCAGCCAGCCAGCCACACTAGGCTTTCAAGTACATCATTTGATTACTCACCACTTGATCATTTACAGCTGAGTGTCTGAAATATGACCATGAAAAATAATGTTCTCCATTTTGTCCTCATGCTGTTTGCATAAGTTAGGGCTGCCATATGTATGGACATTACCGGGATTTCAAAGGTGGAATTGACGGGGGGGGGG